AGAAGAGGAGGAGGGAAAAAATAGCTTTGTTTACAGTGATTTGGACTTTTTAAGCTGTAAAACGCAGAATGTTTTAATGGAACAACCTTTAAAATGGCAAATTTGATTTCGCATCTCACGACGCCTTTAACCATATTGAAATGAGAGTCTTTCCATTTAGCGAACACATTTGGAATGCAATTGTTTTTTGGACATCGGTTTGACTTGGCTTACAAATTATTGGATGCTGCAGAGGTGGACTGGATTAAAGAAGTATTGCTGAGACACCAGAAGGCGTTTCAGAGCTCTGCTCAAGGAGAATGAACCATTGGAAATCTTTTAGAGCAGGCTTTAGTTTAATTAGACTGCCGGAGGAGGAGACGAAAGGCACATGATGCACGCTCTCTGTGCTGAATCCCCTTCCTTCATGCATTTGCTTATATTTATAGCTGAAACATGAAAATGCCATATTCATGCCAAAAATGTGGTGCATACCTAATATCATCTCCAATGTTTTATATTTCACCTTTTTCTTAATAAAATCTATTTATTATTAATTTTTCTTCATATTCTGCATGCATGAAGTTAGATGGCATCATCATGGAGAAGTGCATACAACATTTATGACAGGGTTTTATTATCAAGAGTTTGTCTAGTCCCATTTTGCTCTCCAGCATTACAACAGAAGTTGGATACACAATCTTAGACATGTTTCTCTTTAGTTTTACTTTGGGAATATAATTTGAAGCTTGAATTTTTAATACATTTAAATTTATTATAGAATAATGTACTGAAGTATATTGTGATAATATTGTATTCTAGGAACTTTTCTTAACTATTAATAACAAAATAAACACATGAGAAAAAGGAGAAAACACAGAGATCACAGAGACATGAATATGTTTCACTGGCATCACGATGACAGATGAGCTCATTAAAATCACTCTGTTATTATACACTCACTGGCCACTTTATTAGGTACACCTTACTAGTACCTGGTTGCACCCCCTTTTGCCTTCAGAACAGCCTTAACCCTTTAGATTCAACAAGCTCCTGGAAATATTCCTCAGAGATTTTGCTCCATATTGACAGGATAGCATCACACAGTTGCTGCAGATCCATGATGCATCTCCCGTTCCATCACATCCCAAAGCTGCTCTATTGGATTGAGCTCTGGTGACTGTGGAGGCCATTTGAGTACAGTGAACTCATTGTCACGTTCAAGAAACCAGTCTGAGATGATTCACGCTTTATGACTTGGTGCGTTATCCTGCTGGAAGTAGCCATCAGAAGATGGAGACACTGTGCTCATAAAGGGATGAACATGGTCAGCAGCAATACTCAGGTAGGCTGTGGTGTTAATGCTCAATTGGTACTAATGAGCCCAATGTGTGCCAAGAAAATCTCCCCCACACCATTACACCACCACCACCAGCCTGAACCGCTGATACAAGGCAGGATGGATCCATGCTTTCATGTTGTTGAGGCCAAACTCTGACCCGAGCATCCGAATGTGTCAGCAGAAATGGAGACTCATCAGAGCAGCAACGTTTCTCCAATCTTCTATTGTCCAGTTTTGGTGAGCCTGTGTGAATTGTAGCCTCAGTTTCCTGTTCTTAGCTGACAGGAGCGGCACCCGGTGTGCTCTTCTGCTGCTGTAGTCCATCCGCCTCAAGGTTGGACGTGTTGTGTGTTCAGAGATGCTCTTCTGCAGACCTTCTTCAGTGCTTATTTGACTTACTGTTGTCTTTCTATCAGCTGGAAGCAGTCTGGCCATTCTCCTCTGACCTCTGGCATCAACAAGGCATTTGCGCCAAAGTATATACAGTATTTTAGGCTATAGACTAGATATAGACGGTGTAGTTTGAATTAAAAGAAGTGTTGCATCAAAAAGACATTTTAGGGGTCATTTCAGGAAGCACATTCAAATATGCAGCAAGTCTTGAAAAGGAACACAGGTGTGATGATTCCTCTTGCTTTGTGTTTATGTTTACTGTAAACACATTAACTAATTGTTTCACACACAAAGGGAAGGCTCAAAGTGGTAACCAACCGTATACACAGCTGGATTATGTCAATATTAGGGTAAAAATAAGCCAGAATGTGCCTTTGACCTCAGATAAAGAGTGTGTGTACACTGCATGTGTGTGTGTCTTTTGGTCATGCAAACAGTGCAAGTTTGCCATCATCACAGCAGCTGTAGCCAGGCCACAAATCTTTTAATGAATCCATGAAATGACATATCTTTTAATGAATATAACCAACTAGACGCATGGAAATCTTAATAGATACAGTAGAATTATTAGCCCCTACTGTTTATTTTCTTCCCAATTTCTGCTTGATGGAGAGCAGATTTCTACAGCACATTTATAATCATAATAGTGTTAATAACTCATCTCTAATAACTGATTTATTTTCTCTTTGCCATGATGACCGTAAATAATATTAGACTAGATATTCTTCAAGACTCTAGTGTTCAGCTTAAAGTGACATTTAAAGGCTTAACTAGGGTAATAAGATCAACTAGGCAAATATATAGCTTAAAGCGACTAAATTTTGACCTTAAAATGGTGTTTAAAATATTAAAAACTGCTTTTATTCTAGCCAAAATAAAACAAATAAGACTTTCCCCAGAAGAAAAAATATTATCAGACATACTGTGCAAATTTCCTGAATCTGTTCAACATCATTTGGGAAATATTTAAAAAGAAAACAAAATTCAAAGGGGGGCTAATAATTCTGACTTCAGTAACATTTTAATATATGTCTTGCTGACATCTATACTACAGCTACTACTATTAATAAGAGCAAGAAGACGTTATCTTTAAAATAGGCTGAATATTGGCAGTAGCAAACTGTTGTTATTGTTACTACTAGTACAAATAGTAATATTCATATCAATTTATATTAATAATTTATATCTATAATATATTCTGATATTAGATCTGTCTCAGTGGTCAAAAAAAAAAAAGTTGTCATTTTAAAAATGAAGCCTCTTAATATTGTGGAAGTCTGTTCGCACTGAAATAGTAATTGTAACACAACACATGACATGCTGCTTTGTTTGCTTTCAAATTTCAGGCGCCCACATTTGTATTATGCTTATGTTTGCATAACAAATATCACCGTAATATCCTCGCCATGCAAATGCAAGTGAAAACGTACAGTGGAGCGCTCTGCTGTTTTAGCTTCTAGCCTTAAACCACTTTGAACTCTGCGTGCATGAGTGTGCGTGACACTTCCGAACAATGCATCTGAATGTATGAAGTCATATGACTGTGAACGGCGCTTAGAAGGTCTAGACCGCTTGGTGCTGTGAGTGCATGTGTTCGCGTGCTACACAAAGGCCCTACTGAGAGCGCTCGAGAGTGTGCACACACTTCTCTCTGAGACTCGATGAGGATGGATCTGTTTCACACGATCGCTTGTTCTTTCCCTGCTTGCGACTCTTTTTTTTTTTTCATGATCAGACACTTCACATGTGGTCTGTTACACAACCTAGTGCCCTGCTTAGAAGACTGCATTTTAAAGGTGTTTTTTCCTACAAAGATAACAAGAAGAGACTATTACATTACTTAACTTTATGCTGTAGAAAGTATTATAGTACTGTTTTTAAAGGGATTGTTCTCCCAAAAATTTAAATTCTGCCTTTATTTATTTATTTTTACCCTTAATCGAGTTTTTTTTTTCTGTTGAACACAAAAGATGTTTTGAAGAATGCTTGTTGACCCATTGACTTCCATAGTAACAAGTTTTTCCTACAATGAAAGCATTCTTCAAATTATCTTCTTTTGATCAACAGAAGAAAGATATTCATGGTTTTAAACCACATCAGGGTGAGTAAATCATAATTTTCATTTTAGGGTGAAATATTCTTAATTAAAATCTTTCGGCTTTAGCTTGCATTATTAAAATGACCTAATTGTGTGTTTTTTTATTTATTTATTTTTTATTTTTAAAAAAAATTTACTGCACAATAAACAGATACACAACAACCATTGCATTTTACAGTGCAATAAGATATTTAAGATTAGAATAAAATAAAAAAAGAATAAAGAAGAATAAAAAAAATTGTATAAATTATTATAAATAATGTAAGGGAATAAAAAAACCTAATTGTGATTTATATATTTATATATATATATATATACTTATTTATTATATATTTGTTATATATATATTTATATATGTGTGTGTGTGTGTGTATATATACATATATATATGTATATATGTGTGTGTGTGTGTGTGTGTGTGTGTATATATACATATATATATGTATATATGTGTGTGTGTGTGTGTGTATATATATATATATATATATATATATATATATATATAAATAAATAATTATATATAAATGCATATATATATATATATATATATATATATATATATATATATATATATATATATATGCATTTATATATAAATAAATGTATGTTTGTTAACAATATCGTCGAACCATGCTTTTAAGAAATATACAATTTTAAAATATTTTTCAACCAGCCAAAGTGGCTAGTGGAGATGGGTGTCTGATCCGCCAGAGCTAAAATCCACCCGCATTTGGCCGGTTGGCGGGTGTTAATGTAAAGCCCTGATTGTAATTGTTTTGTTGTGTTTGCAATCAAAAAATAAATAAAAGTGAAATAAGCAAACAAACAAAAATAATATATATATATATATATATATATATATATATATATATATCCCTACATATTTATAGTTGCTCCCTGATGCACACATTTTAGGACTACAACATATACGCTACACACTTTATTAAATACACAAAAAGCATTCCAATGATATCAGAAAAAAAAACCTGATGCTTAATATGCAAACTTATTTACTCTCGCGCAACATGAACACAGTGTAATCGTAACATTTGGGGATTAAAATTGTGTTTTTTTTTTTTTTGTTTGTTTTTTAACATTGCAAATGCAGTTAATCGTTCAGCCCTGATGCAGATGCTGTATATTTGGTATCAGCATGACCTTTAACCTTATCTTTGTGTGTTTTTGCAGCTCAGAATGTGACCGTGGAGGAGATTCTGAATGCCTACAGACAAGCATGCCAGAAACTCAACTGCAAACCAATCCCCAAAGTGCTCAAACAGACACAGGTAACTTCTTTATTCTCGTATTCTAGTCACTCTGATACACACAAAACAACAATTGACTCTGATTGGACAAGGGGGGAACATTGTATACTTTATATTCCTTTTGGGCAAGTTTTGAGTTGTAAATGATGTGGACCTGGCAACCCTGCTGTTAGCAGCTGTTCTATTGCCACTCACACTTCTGAGACTAGGCCTGTCAAAATAATCAATACATTCACAGAGCTGTGAATTATAATTGATTTGCTTTAATTGCTCCGCCTCCTCTTGGCCTTTTTTTGTTTGCCCGAAGCCCCCATTAGATTTCACACCTGCTGAAGAACGGGAAGCTTCACATTGCACATTAGTAACCTCTGTTGTATCCTTAGTTGGCCTGCTGCTCTGGATTACATTAGTACTCCGATCACAAACATATAACCTGGCCAACCTCTGGCAGCGCACCAGTCACATGCCTGCTGTCTCTCTTTGTGTGTGTGTGTGTGTGTGTGTGTGTGGCTGCAGCATGAGTACTGAAAGCCTCTTATATGCAGAACATTGAAAACAAACCATATTGAGTCAACAAACACTCGGTGCTTCCTGTTCTGATGACACACACACACACACACTGGGGTTGCACGATACTGGAGAAATATGCGATATTTGCAGTATTGAGTATTGCGTCTATTGTAATATAATTTATATTAATTATTATATTACAAATGATATACAACATATTATGCTATACTGTTGTAATATAATTGTAATTTTCTATATATTTTTCTGGCCAAACACAAACTGAAGTGGTGTTAGAGAGGCCAGCAGGGGTCCCCAACCTGTGGTCTGCGTGAGTCCTAATGCACTAGTGAAAGTGAAAGGGACACTATAGAGTGGAGGAAATATGACGTCACTTTGTAGGCTAATAGGCTGCTAGCATTAAACTGGTTTCCTCGTATAAATCCCTATAGGATTTTCCCATAGGCTTTTCGAAGATTGCCAATAATAAGCTCTGTGTTCAAACACTGTTCTTTACACTGTCCAGCCGGATAATCCTCACACCAAAATACAACTTTGGGCACTTTTGGATCTTAAATGCAAACGCAAGAGTTGAAAAGCTAACATTAGGCTATAAACGGACTACAGAGCCCTCAGGGCGCGCGCCTGTGACGTCAGCACCACCCTGCTACAGACGACTATCAAGCTTATTAGAAATAATGTCCCAGTGTGGGACAATAATAATTCAATAATTCTCCAGTGTGGCAGCAGAACGTGGTTTTAGCCTCCAGAACAAAATTTAAATTGTCATGAGAAGTCGACTTTCCGGGGCAAAGACACAGAACTTAAGGCAAGGCAAGGCAAGTTTATTTATATAGCACATTTCATACACAGTGGTAATTCAAAGTGCTTTAATTTGTTTTTATCTGTTTTTAATTATTTTTATTGTCTGCATTTTATGTTCCTAAACTTGTCTCAACTATTCCTGTTTATGTAAAGCACTTTGAATTGCCACTGTGTATGAAATGTGCTATATAAATAAACTTGCCTTGCCTTGCCTTGCCTTGCCTTGGTGCAGATTCCGTGTGGGCCTAGTTAGGATGAAATTTTTACAACCCTCTCCGTCAACATGACGGACAACGAGAAAGTCTAACGCAATCTCTGTTTGGAGGTGTCCACGTTGCTGAACAACGTATGTGAAACAATGTGAGGACACCATTGCTTCTCTCCTGAACTTGAAACTATGATTGACAGAATCGAAGAAATGCTGGATTAAGATCGTGTAGGGGAATCGAGATCGCAATCTTTTTACGATTCACTGTGCAGCTCTAATTGGAGTCATGTCAGAGATGTATGGATGCAGTCCTCCAAGCTCATGATGGAGTCAGACACAATATTCATTCTGTCTCCACTGCAGCAGGACTTTATATTCTATACTGGACATTATTTCTGTTCAGTGACAGAGTCAGAGCTTACTATCCTAATGCAATCAATAATAATCAAGACATGATCATATTTTATTGTGCTCAAATAAGCAAAATCTAGAGGTCTATGCCTTTCATATGAGACACTTCTGATACCAAATGATCAACTAGAAGTCCTGTTATTATTTGCTGTTCCTAAAACTTGAACAGGCGATAAGACTTCTCTGAGGTAGTGTAGGCTTGTATGCATTATAAAAGGGACAGAAAATCGAGTGAGTTTCTAAATGCATGACAGGTCTGAGGTGAGATTGGGCAGAGTGTTGTGATGAGACACACACGCCTGCAGAAACAGATCGATGAGGGAGAGAGTCTGCTCTAGAGCTGAGTCACTGAAAACACTCACACACACACACACACACACAAACAGAGAGAGAGAGATGGTGTCATCATGGCCTGATGTTTGCACAGAGATGCCAGCTTTCAACACCCACAATCACACACCAACCAGCACATGCTGCCGCTCTCCTCCCCTCGTCCCCTGCGTTCTGCTGTTTCTTCTGCTTCTCCATTCTCTGGTTGTTGGTGTGTGTGTGTGTGTGTGTGTGTGTGTGTGTGTGTGTGTGTGTGTGTGTGTGTGTGTGTGTGTGTGTGTGTGTGTGTGTGTGTGTGTGTGTGTGTGTGTGTGTGTGTGTGTGTGTGTGTGTGTGTGTGTGTGTGTGTGTGTGTGAGCTGCAGGTGTGCAGTAAAGCTTCAGTCTGTTAAACTTTTCCAAGGCCATGATGGTAAATTTCCACTGGGAGACCCCAGGGCAGAAAATAGCCAGTCATTAGTGTGTGCGTGCGTGTGTATGTTTTTGACTCTGTGCGTGTGTTTGTGCGGGTGTGTGTCTGCATGTGTGCATGCATATATTTGTGTGCACGTATTTGTGTGTGTGTGTGTGTGCACATGTCCGTGTGTGTGTCTGTGTGTATGTTTGTACCTGTAATTATGTGCACGTGTCTGTGTTCATGCACCACTTGTATTTGTGTACATGTACTTGTGTCTGCATGTGTGCATATGTTTTCGTGTCTATGCGTGTGTTTGTGCGGGTGTTTGTCTGCATGTGTGCATGCATGTATTTGTGTGTGTACGTGCATGCGTGCATGCATGTGCGCTAGTAACATTGTGTGTGTGAATGCATGACTGGGTTTGTTTATGTGTGTGTCTATTCGTGTGCATGTGTATGTGCGCGCGCGTGCGTGCGTGCTTGCGTGTGTGTGTGTGTGTGTGTGTGTGTGTGTGTGTGTGTGTGTGCATATACATGTTTGTGTGTGCATGCAAGTATGTGCGATTGCGTGTGCGTGTGTTTGTGTGTGAGTGTGTGTGTGTGTGTGCGTGTGCGTGTGCGTGTGTGCGTGTGTGTGTGTATGTGTGTGCCCACTAATATGCATCTGTGTGCACATACATTTTTTGTGTGTGTGAGTGCATGCACGTGTGTGTGCTTGCAGGGGTGTGCCAGTATAATTGTGTGTGTGCCAGTATAATTGTGTGTGTGTGTGTGCGTTTGTGTGTATGTATGTGTGTGTGAGAATGACTGCATGTAAGTATATGTGTTTGTGTCAGTATGTGTGTGCATGCAAGCTTGTGTGTGTGTGCACGTGTGCCAGTAAGATTGTGTGGGTGCATGCATGCGTTTGCATGTATTTGTGTGCCCGATCATGTGCATATGTGTGTGAGTGAGTGCATGCAAGTATGTGTGTGTGCATGCATGCTTGTGTGTGAACATGTGCCAGTAAGAATGTGTGTGCTCAGTAAGATGCGTGGGTCTGTGCATGCATGTGTTTTTCTGCATGTGTGTGTGTGTATGTGTGTTTGCATGTATGTATGTGTGTGTGTGTGTGTGTTTTTCCACCACCTCAGCCTTGTGTTCCTCTCTGCTAATTGCTTAGTCACTCTTGGAAACTGACTTGACTAACAGGCCAGTAAAAGAACAGCAGTGAAGAGCGAGCGAGAGGAGAAGCTTTAAGGAGATTACAGCGCTGCTCTCTGTCTGTTTACTCTGCACAGCTGGCAGACGGACACTTTATCCACATTTATTATTTCTGTTCTAGTCTATGTGTTTTATTTTAGTCTGATTCACATGTCCTGAGCCTGTGTATAATGATGAGCTTCGTCATATTACATCACTGCAACAACAGTCAGTGGTTTGACTGTGTTTTGTAGAGCTCAGTTCCTTGTTTTGAGGTAATTAATGCAACTTGCTGTATTTTATTGTGCTCTTTTGGGGTACTTTTAAGGTGTTTAAATACCAGAATAATTATATTTAGTTATTCTAGTACAATATAAATCCGTTTTTCCATTTCTGTTTATTAAAATCTTTGTGTTTTGTGCTGGAGTGGCTGGTTCAGAGAGGTCATGGATAAATCTGGCACTAATGATTCATTTATACTGGTTGAAAATGGAGGTTATTGAATCATTGACTCCAGAGTTATTGACCTAATTCATTCAGGAACAAAATACTGCATTGTTTCCCTGAGATGAACTTTTGTTTTTAAGCTACTTTTGTTTCCAAAACACCAAAAGAAAAACACTTTCATATAAAATATCACATTTGTGATTTGAACAATGATAAATAAATATAAACATTAATTTGTTCATTTTCTTTTCGGCTTAGTCCTTTTATTAATCTGGGGTTGCCGCAGTGGAATGAACCGCCAACTTATCCAGCATATGTTTCATGCAGCGGATGCCCTTCCAGCTGCAACCCATCACTGGGAAACACCCTTACACTCTCATTCACAAACATACACTACGGACAATTTAGCCTACGCAATTCACCTGTACCGCATGTCTTTGGACTGTGGGGGGAAACCGGAGTACCCGGAGGAAACCCACACGAACACGGGGAGAACATTCCACACAGGAATACCAACTGACCCAGAGAAGGCTCGAACCAGCGACCTTCTGGGTGTGAGGTGACAACACTACCTACTGCTCCACTCCGTCGCCCACTAGCATATTGACAACACAAAAAAGGACAACAGCCATAGGCTATAATATACACTCACCGGCCACTTTATTAGGTACACCTTACTAGTACCGGGTTGAAATACCCGTCTGGCACCAACAACCATGCCACGTTCAAAGTCAATTAAATCCCCTTTCTTCCCCATTCTGATGCTCGCTTTGAACTGCTGCAGATCGTCTTGACCATGTCTACATGCCTGAATGCATTGAGTCGCTGCCATGTGATTGGCTGATTAGAAATTTGCATTAAAAAAACAGTTGGAGAGGTGTACCTAATAAAGTGGCCGGTAAGCGTAGACTTCTTTAAAGCTGCATTGAAACTAATTTGGAAGTTCAAACATTTAGAGTAAAACCCTTCATGTTTGCAAAGAAAGAAAGAAAGAAAGAAAGAAAGAAGGAAAGAAAGAAAGAGAAAGAAAGAAAGAAAGAAAGAAAGAAAGAAAGAAAGAAAGAAAGAAAGAAAGAAAGAAAGAAAGAAAGAAAGAAAGAAAGAAAGAAAGAAAGAAAGAAAGAAAGAAAGAAAGAAAGAAAGAAAGAAAGAAAGAAAGAAAGAAAGAAAGAAAGAAAGAAAGAAAGAAAGAAAGAAAGAAAGAAAGAAAGAGAAAGAAAGAAAGAAAGAAGGAAAGAAAGAGAAAGAAAGAAAGAAAGAAAGAAAGAAAGAAAGAAAGAAAGAAAGAAAGAAAGAAAGAGAAAGAAAGAAAGAAAGAAAGAAAGAGAAAGAAAGAAAGAAAGAAAGAAAGAAAGAGAAAGAAAGAAAGAAAGAAAGAAAGAAAGAAAGAAAGAAAGAAAGAAAGAAAGAAAATGCTTATTCTGTAAGTGAAAATGTCTTATACACAGACATTTCTTTTGTGGAAGGACACTATATACTGTATATCTGCAGGTTAACTGTATCTATCTAACCTCTTCACAACTTCTTAACTTTTCTAATTTGCACTGTAATGTTATATTAATGCACACCTTTTGTCTAGCTGCTTTGGAAGGATAGTTATTGTTAAAAGCTCTACAAAAAGCTCTACAAATACACTTGTAGGATGAAGTAGGTATATTTGTAGTCCATTCTCCTCCTCACAGCAGCAGTGTGTGTATACTCCGCCCACAGCAGATGCGAGCTTGTGATTGGCTGAGAGTTGAGTATGGCCGCAGGTGCTTGTGTAACAGCAGAAACACAAGGCTCATTGAACTCACATTAGAAGCTCAGGGTCAGATGCTGTTTGCATGGCAGCGCTAAATGTCAGGTGGCGACTGATCAGAGAACAGGTTTTAGTTCAGCTGCCCCCTGCTGTTTCAGACCTCGCTCTTTATACAGCTTTAGTATACACCATTAAACACACACTGTAAAACCCAACAGTCAACTTCATCAACTGAAATGAGTGTAGTTAACTCAATATTTAAATTACTCATTTAAAAAGAGTTTTAACTCCGTATTGAACGCTGTAAAGAGTGATTAGTTACTTAAAGCTAGTAAACCAATTGCCTTAAAAGCAACAAGTTTACATAAATAATGTAAGTAAATTATTGCATGTTTGAAATTTATGTTTATAATTGTGCAAATTGTACTTACTTTTTTAAAAGTGAACAAATCCTTTTTTACAGTGTCAGACTATTTTAGCATGTCTGTTTTCAGACAGTTACTGTAATTATCATAATAGTTCATATTTGATGCTTCATTAAGTCTATAAAATCTCCAATTATTGAATTTAGAAGACACACTGGAGTCTGTAGCAGCAGATTTATTTTACTGTATGTCATTTTACTAGATACAGAAAAGTTTTGTGGGAAAAACAAATATAATAATAATTAATAATAATAATAATTCGTTACATTTATATAGCGCTTTTCTGGGCACTCAAAGCGCTTTACACAATGGGGGGGGAATCTCCTCATTCACCACCAGTGTGCAGCATCCACCTGGATGACGCGACGGCAGCCATTTTGCGCCAGACCGCACACCACACACCAGCTGATTGGTGGAGAGGAGACAGAGTGATGATATGCCAATCATGATATGGGGAGGGTTAGGAGGCCATGATGGACAGAGGCCAGTGGGCAGATTTGGCCAGGATGCCGGGGTTAAACCCCTACTCTTTTTCGAAGGACATCCTGGGATTTTTAACGACCACAGAGAGTCGGGACCTCGGTTTAACGTCTCATCCGAAAGACGGCGCTCACTGAGCAGTATAGAGTCCCCGTCACTATACTGGGGCATTAGGACCCACACAGACCGCAGGTTGGGCGCCCCCTGCTGGCCTCACTAACACCACTTCCGGCAGCAACCTAGCTTTCCCAAGTGGTCTCCCATCCAGGTACTGACCGGGCGCAGCCCTACTTAGCTTCAGTGGGCGACCATGTGAGAGTTGCAGAGAGCTAGCTGCCGGCTATATAATAAAGGTGTATTGGAAAAAAGGGATTAGTTTACTTTTATTTTTAAAAGTAAGTCCAATTTGCATAATGATAAAAATTAAGTCAACTTAACTGTTCCAAGTTACGATGGATTTACTTAGCAGTATACATGTCAAACTAAATAATTTAAATGAGTTATTGACTTCTGTTGGCTTCACTTGTTTCAGATTTTTTTTTACAATTTAACATCTTTGGAGATCTTTTCTGCTGGAGATACTGCTGTCCTTAAAAGCTAAAAAAACAAATTAAATAAAAAAATCTTACTCCAGTCTTAGAAACGATATTCACCTTATTCTTCGCAGACGAGCGGGCGCAGCCGTTTGAATCTTTTTGGCTCGAGACTTCCGGTCTCATTCACTTCCATTCATTTTTAGACATTGAAAACTGCTCGTTTTGCTGTTTGATGTTGCAAACTGATATTTCCTTATTATATTATTCTACTTGGTCTGTATAGTTATGCAAACATTTGTTTGTAGAGCAAGTAGTTTGACCGTTTTCTGCCCTTTATTATCCCTAGTCATTTCTCCCATAGGCGACTGAATGGGAAGTTCTTAAACAATCGCGAAAACAGGCGCACTTCCGCATTTTAGAATAAGGTCAATAGCAGAGAATTTTGACGATTTTACAACCTTGACTTTTCCTAACCGTGGTATACCTTGAACACGGTTATCATCCAATGTCAGCACATTTAAAACTGTTCCACTTAACAGTTCCAAGTTACGATGGATTTACTTGCATTATTTTTGTAAAGTCAACTTGTTGCTTTTAAGGCAAGAGGTTTACTCACTTTAAGTAACTAATCACTTTTTACAGTGAAGGTAGAGAGTTCGTTAAACACCTCATTACTTCAACTTAAATGGAGTAAGTTCACAGCACTCATATAGATTACTTTAACTCAAATAGTTTGTTGCAGTCGGATTCCTTAAATGGTTTGAGTTGCCTTAACTCAGTGGTTCTCAAACTGTGGTACGTGTACCACTAGTGGTACACGGAGAAATGAAATATGTTATGTACATGCTACATATATTTTAAAATGGATTAAAAATGATGTATATAATATGCATTATATGATATATAGCCTACATTTCTGAGGTAATCTGCCAGGTTTTTTAACTGTGCAGAGTTTTAGCTGCTTTACTGGGCCTACTACGCTACTGTATTTCAATACTGCTCATTTTGGTGGTACTTGGAAAGACAATTTTTTTCCAAAATGGTACTTGATGAAAAACGTTTGAGAACCACTGCCTTAACTCATTGGGTTTTACAGTACTCAGTTGGTTTGAGTTCTCTTCATTTATTGGGTTTTACTGTGCTCAGATTGCTTCATGTACTCAAATGGATTAAGTTCACAGTACTCATTAGGATTCGTTTTTGAACTTAAATGGTTTGTTGCAATCGGTTTCCTCCAATGGTTTAAGTTACCTTAACTTAATGGGTTTTAAAGTGCAGCTTTACTATACAGCTATACTAAATTATATGCAGCTTTATAACAACAAACCAGCTATATAATAATATTGCTATTATTATAATATATATTTATTTTATTATATATATATATATATATATATATTAAAAAAAAATATATATATTATAATATAATTATATTATTATATTATAATAATATTGCTATTCAGCTATATAATAATATTGACCTTAAAAATGGTTTAGTAATAATTATAATAATACATTTATTTTGCATAGCGCCTCTAAGAGTGTCCTTCTCAAAGCAATTGCTCATGGCAGGGAAAAGCACATAAGAATAAAGCAAAGCATAAATAAAGAAAACATCAATGAATGAACTAAATTCATGTCATACATTAGAATAAATAAAAGCAATGTCGGCTAGGCATGGGACGCTATAAAATTCTGACGGTATGATAATCTTGGATATAAATGTCACGGTATTGAGATTACTGCTCTAAAATATATCTTTTTTAAATGCCTGGGTAAAAAACAAAACCTTTTTCCCCTTTGTACACAATATAATTTCATTTTGGAAGCATTGTGGAGGAGTAAACATGTCAAAATAAATAATTCAAATGAATGATTGACTTCTGCTGTCTTCACTTGTTTCAAAAACACAGATTTTTTTTTTTTTACAATTTAAAATGACATCTTTGGAGATCGTTTCTGCTGGATATGCTGCTGTCCTAAAAAGCTAAAAAAATAATAATAATAAAAATAAAATAATAATAAAAATCCTACTCAAATCTTAGGAACGGTATAGCAGATATGCCTAATGCCTAATGTCAGCACATTTAAAATGAATCATCAGATAAAGGCAATCCTAAAATTATTATTTCTAAAATTATTTAATATTAACTAAAATCATTAAAATAATTCATAAAATTATCCTTTTTTAAGTAACTTATTGCACACAAACTGGTAATGTAATAATGATTTTGGCCAGTGATCTGATAATAATTAAGCATTAATTTCTCTTTCTTTCTTGATTTGTTTTTCCCACACAGGACTTAAAAGACCTGACACAGCGAAACGAGTGCCTAGATCTCAAAGGTGAGCATCACTTCAGTGTGTAGTCATTTAAAGAACAGAACGCTTGGTGATTTTCTTTGCTGTAGCGAATGCAAGTATGTATATTCCTGCTTCTTTATATTTCATACTCAATGGACTTAAAGATATTCAAAGGTTTGAGAAAATTATGAAAATAAAGAACAGCATTGCGGGATTTTTTTTAGTTATGATGGATTTAAATAGTTAAAATCTTTTTTTTTTCCTTTTCAATATTTTTATTTCATATTTTATTTAAGAATATCCCCTGTATTTAAAATTAAATAATGCTGTTCCCTTTTTAAAAATGATGGTCATTAAAAAAAAAGACAAACTCTACACTGACATTCATAAGATGTCAGTGTGATGTCAGCCCCCCTTTGAATTCACTGTGTGTTGAACAACTGGATAAGTCATAGACACGCACTCACTCAGACACAAACACTATGACGATCCACATGCAAACACACCGCCTCTGATGCATAAACACACTCAAATGCACATATCCTTAGTCACACACACATTCACAGACACGCACACCCTCACACACACACTCTGCTCAGACATCCTCACTGACACCATGATACTTCAGACACACAAACACATTCGCAGACGGACACGCACAGCTACACATCCGCTTTCACAGATACATAAACACACACATTCACAGACACAAACACACACATGCGCATTCACAGGCACAGAAACACACAGACTCATATACACATTCACACAGACACACACCCACATCTACAAACAACTTGATCCACACACATATACACCCTGATACACACTCACACACATAGGTGCTCAGTTGATTGGAACCTGCTAAGACTGGTTTGTGTTTCTATATATTTTGTGAAGTTAGTTTGTGTGTGTGTGTGTGTGTGTGTGTGTGTGTGTGTGTGTGTACATGTTTTTGTGACTTATCAGGACACAAATCTGTATAATGACATGGGTATGACACGGGTAGTACAAAAAGGAGGTGAAGTATGAGGACATTGGTGACGTCCTCATTTCTCAAAAAGCTTATAAATCATACAGGGTGAGTTTAATCAGAGTAAAGCTGCACACAATCTCCTGTGATGGTTGTGTTTAGGGGTGGGGTGGGGTGAGGGCAATACAATATACGGTTTTAACAGTATAAAATGAATGGAAACCTATGTAATGTACCCACTTTTCACAAAAACAAATGTGTGTGCACGTGTGTGTGTGTGTGTGTGTGTGTGTGTGTGTGTGTGTGTGTGTGTGTGTGTGTGTGTGTGTGTGTGTGTGTGTGTGTGTGTGTGTGTGTGTGCGCGCGCTTGTTTCTGCAGGAGAAAAGCTGGACTATAAATCCTGTGAGTCTCTGGAGGAGATTTTCAAGAGGGTTCAGTTTAAACTGGTGGATCTGGAGCAGACGAACCTGGACGAGGACGTGAGTGCTTTATGAAGTCTGTGTTCTGTCTTTCTCACTGCAGGGTTATTTCTCTTATATTCTTCTTACAACCTTTAAGACCGTGAGGTACAGTGCTCAGATTTCACTTATCAGTGCCGATACACAAACACAGTCTCTCTGTTAGCAGCTACTTAATGTCAGAGAGAGTGTGTGCGCGCCTGCAGGCAGAGTATTGTTTTGTTTTTGTTTTGTTTCATTTCTGTTTCGTTTCTCTTTTGTTTATTTTGTTTCTATTTTGTTACATTTCTTTTTTTGTTTCTATTTTGTTTTGTTTTATTTCTATTTCATTTCGTTTAGTTTCTTTTTTGTTTCATTTCATTTCTATTTCATTTCTATTTTGTTGTTTCGTTTTTATTTCTATTTTGTTTTTGTTTTTGTTTCGTTTCTTTATTTTTTAGTTTCTATTTTTTAATTTCATTTCTATTTTGTTGTTCATTTTATTTCTATTTTGTTTCGTTTCTATTTTTGTTTAATTTCTATTTAATTTCTATTTTTCCTTTTTTGTTTCGTTTCTATTTCATTTCTATTCTGTTTCATTTCTATTTTGTTTAGTTTCTATTTTGTTATTTCATTTCATTTTTATTTAATTTGGTTTAGTTTCTATTTCATTTCGTTAAGCTTCTATTTTGTTTAATTTTTATTTTGTTTTGTTTAGTTTCTATCTCTATTCGTTGTTTACTTTCGTTTCATTTCTGTTTTGTTTAGTTTCTATTTCATTTAGTTTCATTTCTATTTTGTTACTTTTCATTGCGTTTTGCTTTTGTTATGTTTATTTTGGTTTTGATTTTATTTTATTTGTTTTATTTATTTTTTATTTGTTTAATTTTATTTTATTGCACATATCTGCTGGTTTGTATCTATTTTTTATATTGTTCGCAACTACTTTTCTTCTTAATGTCCTTGTTTATTTCTTTATTTTGTTATTAATTCTATAAAATTTTCAATCATTTTATTAGGTTATTGTGCAAAAACATTTTTTTATGTCTGCATTTTAGTTATTATTTTAAATATTATATTATATGTTATAATATTACAATGATAATTTTGTAATAACTACGTGTGTTTTTTTATATTGTCCATTTATCTTGCTTGTGTATATAATTTAATTTGTTTAATTTGTTAAATCTAGCTCATAACCACTTTTCTGTGCAGTATGTAATTGAATTAATTTAATTTAATTAGTTTTATTGCCTGTAACTGCTGCTCTGGGATCAGTTTGTTCAGTCTGGTTAGGTTATAGGCAGGTTTTGTCCCCTGCTGCAGCTCTTTATCTTTCTGGCTGTTGTAATCTGCATGTTTGTTGTTTTATGTGTCTGTAAGCATTCAACACACTCCTGCGGTGCTCATAATCTGCTTTACCTTTAAACCCTCAGCGTCAAGCTCTTTGTTTTTGTGCTGTTGTCCCGCCTCATTTCTCACTGTATCCAGTAGAACTGCACAATATTGGAAATATCTGACATATTGTTTTGCTGCAAAATATATATTGCGATGCTTTGAACAGCTCTATTTGGAAATATTTCATTCATTTAGATCGACTAGTTATGATCAAGTCTTCTTCCATGCATTATATTTGCATGAAATATAATAAATTACAAGCAAAAATAAATAAATAAACAGTGCTTCATAATTTTCTGGAGAGTCGAACAGTATTTAAGTACGGAAATTAAACAATCAAATATAAAATAACAGGGTCATCATTGTAATAATATCTAGAAAATAATAATATATTTAAATTATTGACTCTGTTGACTATTAAAGATACACACATTGCGATATCAATGCTCTAATTATATATTGTTCAGCCCTAATATCCAGTCATTAGCATCCATTCACAGGCTGATTGCATCATCAACAAATGCCAAACACCAACATCATAGATTTTTATTTTACACTGAGATTGATCATTATGTTTCGCAAATATGTTGACTTCAGCAGTCTTTGTTAAAACTACATGCAAATTATCACAGTATCCCTTATGTTTGCTTTGCTTGTGTTTTAAAAAGTTTCAAACGTCTCTGGAAATCCTTTAAAGGTCCTGTGAATTTAACCCTTGTGTGCTGTTTGGTCGTTTTCATCCATTCTGGGCTGTTTTTGACTCTTTTTCTGTTTCAGCAAAAGGAAAAAATTTTGTTTCTATTTTGATTCATTTCAGTTTTATTTCGTTTTGTTTCTTTTACAATTAATTTCTATTTTATTTCTATTTTGTTGTTTAATTTCTATTTCGTTTAGTTTCTATTTTGTTTAAATTTATTTAGTTTGATTTCTATTTCATTTCTTTTCTTTTTTGTTATGTTACATTTCTATTTTGTTTAGTTTCTCGTTTCATTTTTATTTCGTTTAGTTTCTATTTCGTTTATTTTCTATTTTGTTTCATTTCTATTACATTTACTTTCTATTTTGTTTCATTTTTCTCGTTTCATTTTTATTTAGTTTAGTTTCTATTAAGTTTAGTCTCTATTTTGTTTCATTTCTATTTAGTTTCATTTCTATTTAGTTTTGTTTAATTTCTATTTCGTTTAGTTTCTATTTTGTTTAGTTTGTCTTGTTTCATTTCTATTTCAATTAGTTTCTATTAAGTTTAGTTTCTATTTTGTTTCATTTCTATTTAGTTTTGTTTCATTTCTATTTCATTTAGTTTCTATTTTGTTTCATATTTTATTTCGTTTTGTTTCATTTCTATTTTGTTTAGTTTTGTTTAGTTTCTAGTTCATTTCCTTCAGCTTCTATTCTGTTTAATTTTTATTTTTTTTGTTTCATTTCTATTTTGTTTCATTTCATTTTGTTTTTTATTTTGTTGTTTCATTTATATTTTGTTTTGTTTCTATTTTGTTTTGTTTCATTTCGTTTCAATTTTTATTTCATTTCATTTCTATTTTATGTTTCAATTTTATTTAGTTTAGTTTCTATTTTGTTTCATTTCTATTTTGTTTGTTTTTAATTAGTTGTTTCATTTCTATTTCGTTTCTATTTTATTAGGTTTCATTTCTATTGTTTCATTTCTATTTAGTTCTGTTTTATTTCTGTTTTGTTTTTGTTTTGTTTCTTTTTCTTTTCGTTTTTATTTCATTTAATTTAGCTTCTGTTTTGTTTAATTTGTTTTTTGTTTCATTTCATTTTGTTTTTATTTTGTTTTGTTTCGTTTCTCCTTGATTTAATTTTGTTTCGTGTCTATTTTGTTTTGTTTTATTTCTATTTCGTTTCATTTGATTTCTATTTTGTTGTTTATTTTTTTTATTTAATTTCTATTTTGTTTCATTTCGTTTCGATTTAGTTTAGGACAAATCCTATTTTAACACATATTTTGGGAAAATGCTTTAAAAATGCTCGGTAACACACTCTAATCAAATTGACTCCCCTTTGGTTATGTTGGGGGCTGTTTTTGCCCCATTGACTTCCATTATAATTTTTTTTTTTATATGCAAAGCCATGACAGCATATAATCATGCATTCTTCATTGTTGCTGGTTTTCCCTTCTGGGAAGAGGTGCAATTTTTTATTTTTACTGTCGATCATCAGTTGCAGTGCAAAAAAGCATAATTTCTGGCTTTTATTTGAGTTATTTGGAGTATAGTGTGTGTGCATGAGAGAGAGATCTTTGCGCACTTACCTTGATATTTCTGACAAAATCACAATAAGCCCTTTAACTCTCAGAACACAATAAACACAGTGAGTGTATTTCTGCACACACACACTATAAACTGCTGTTTTACGCTACTGAACTCCATGTTAAAGCCATAAACTTTTTTTGCACAGGCCTGTTCAAATGGTTTATGCTGCCAACTGATGATCTAAAAAAATTACAAATGTTACCTCTTCCCAACTGAGAAAACCTGCAACAATCAAGAATGCATGATTACTGCATATGGCTTCGCAATCCAAAAATGTAATTATAATGGAAGTCAATGGGTAAAAAACAACCCATAACATAACCAAAGGGGAGTCACTTTGAACAATACATGAGTTATTAAATATATTATTATATTTTTTCTGTCCGTGAAGGGTGTTTAGTTTCTGCTTGTCTGAGGTCAGTCTGTTAACAAGATTCCTTCTGCTTTGAGGAGAGTGTAAATCTCCAGGGTAAAGAAGCTGGAAACAAAAGCATATTTTCACTAGAGACACTCAGATATACACATGTGCAAACATGCAGTCATTCTCAACACTTGTGTGCCAGCAGACTCTTCTGGGACAAAATTAAAGCCAAGAAATGATCACCATCACACATTTATAATAATGTATAGCTAAATTAAAAAAACCTTAGAGTAGGATATATAAATAGATTTGGTTGCATTTGTTTTAATAAAAATGCAGTAAACATGACATATTTTAGAATATAATCTGAAAGAATGGTTTTCTGTTAATGTTAAGATTGTTTTAATTGTCCTTATAAATATACCGTATTATTTAAAATAAACACTGTGAATTGAAATGTCCATTTTTGTAAATAATCTTGATAAAATTCTATATTTTTATTAGAATTATTACTAATTTCATCTATTATTTTACGCTTAAAATTTAAGCTTTAAGTCTTTGTATGCCCTCAAACCTGCAAACATATTTGTATAACAAAAGATAATAATAAAAAAGTAAATATTTACACTCTCTCTGATTCTCCAAACTGATTTAAACAGAGCTGTTGAAGTCACGCACAGTACTTTAGGCAAGTATATTTTCACTAATTGAAATTAAATGACCTAAAATGAAAAGTAATCCAGAGGAAAAAGTAATTAAATTACAGTAACTATTTACTTTCTACCTAATTACACCCAACACTGCTTTCTCCTTGTGTGTGAGAGCAGGTTTTAGTCTTGGTAACTCAGTTTAATTGTATTCCAAAGTTGAAGTTGATATCTAAAAAAAAAACAAGCTTTCGCTAAGATTTTCTTTGACCGCAGTACCAGACATGACCACCAGGTCCAGACTTTCAGTTTACACTAGTAGCCATATAACAGCGCCCCCTATGTTTCAAAGAATATTTTTCATAACTTTGACTAAGGCCCTGTCCACATGAACACGGGTATTTTTAAAACCACACTACTTTTACAGGTAGTTTCGCTGTTTGTCCACATGAAAATGCAGTGTTAGATCAGGGGTTCGCAAACTTTTAAGCTTGCGCCCCCCCCAATATAACAATGTCTGTGACTCGCGATCCCCAAAATAACAATGTCCATGACTCATGACCCCCAAAATAACAATGTCTGTGACTCGCGACCCCCAAAATAACAATGTCCATGACTCGTGACCCCCAAAATAACAATGTCCATGACTCGTGACCCCCAAAATAACAATGTCTGTGACTCGTGACCCCCAAAATAACAATGTCCATGACTCGTGACCCCCAAAATAACAATGTCTGTGACTCGTGACCCCCAAAATAACAATGTCCATGACTCGCTACCCCCAAAATAACAATGTCCATGACTCGTGACCCCCAAAATACAATGTCCATGACTCGTGACCCCCAAAATAACAATGTCTGTGACTCGTGACCCCCAAAATAACAATGTCCATGACTCATGACCCCCAAAATAACAATGTCCATGACTCGTGACCCCCAAAATAACAATGCCGGTGACTCGCGACCCCCAAAATAACAATGTCGGTGACTCGCGACCCCCAAAATAACAATGTCCATGACTCATGACCCCCAAAATAACAATGTCTGTGACTCGCGACCCCCAAAATAACAATGTCCATGACTCGTGACCCCCAAAATAACAATGTCCATGACTCGTGACCCCCAAAATAACAATGTCTGTGACTCGTGACCCCCAAAATAACAATGTCCATGACTCGTGACCCCCAAAATAACAATGTCCATGACTCGTGACCCCCAAAATAACAATGTCCGTGACTCGTGACCCCCAAAATAACAATGTCTGTGACTCGTGACCCCCAAAATAACAATGTCCATGACTCGCGACCCCCAAAATAACAATGTCCATGACTCGTGACCCCCAAAATAACAATGTCCATGACTCGTGACCCCCAAAATAACAATGTCTGTGACTCGTGACCCCCAAAATAACAATGTCCATGACTCGTGACCCCCAAAATAACAATGTCCATGACTCGTGACCCCCAAAATAACAATGCCGGTGACTCGCGACCCCCAAAATAACAATGTCGGTGACTCGCGACCCCCAAAATAACAATGTCCGTGACTCGTGACCCCCAAAATAACAATTTCTGTGACTCGCGACCCCCAAAATAACAATGTCAGTGACTCGCGACCTCCAAAATAGCAACGTCCGTGACTCGCGACCCCCAAAATAGCAACGTCCGTGACTCGCGACCCCCAAAATAACAATGTCGGTGACTCGCGACCCCCAAAATAACAATGTCCATGACTCATGACCCCCAAAATAACAATGTCTGTGACTCGCGACCCCCAAAATAACAATGTCCATGACTCGTGACCCCCAAAATAACAATGTCCATGACTCGTGACCCCCAAAATAACAATGTCTGTGACTCGTGACCCCCAAAATAACAATGTCCATGACTCGTGACCCCCAAAATAACAATGTCCATGACTCGTGACCCCCAAAATAACAATGTCCGTGACTCGTGACCCCCAAAATAACAATGTCTGTGACTCGTGACCCCCAAAATAACAATGTCCATGACTCGCGACCCCCAAAATAACAATGTCCATGACTCGTGACCCCCAAAATAACAATGTCCATGACTCGTGACCCCCAAAATAACAATGTCTGTGACTCGTGACCCCCAAAATAACAATGTCCATGACTCGTGACCCCCAAAATAACAATGTCCATGACTCGTGACCCCCAAAATAACAATGCCGGTGACTCGCGACCCCCAAAATAACAATGTCGGTGACTCGCGACCCCCAAAATAACAATGTCCGTGACTCGTGACCCCCAAAATAACAATTTCTGTGACTCGCGACCCCCAAAATAACAATGTCAGTGACTCGCGACCTCCAAAATAGCAACGTCCGTGACTCGCGACCCCCAAAATAGCAACGTCCGTGACTCGCGACCCCCAAAATAACAACCTCTGTGACTCGCGACCCCAAAAATAACAATGTCAGTGACTCGCGACCCCCATTTTTCTCGAAGGAGGTAATAAATATACAAACGTTGCACACATAACTACAGGCCTATATAAACATGAGCATATTGACAACACAAAACTGCAACAGACTAATAATAACCATATGATTTTTATAGTCAATTATTAATTAAATTTAATATTAAGCTTGAATATTTATTTTTTATGTATTAGAGTGCCATAAAGTCCGTCAGAAAGTTTAACTATGAAATCAATCTGCTGCAGGTCATCTAAACACCCCAGGGGTCGCAATCCTATGAATAAAAAAATACTGATACATATTCGTTTGTATGTTGTTGTTTCTTTAATGTAACTATTAACTATCTTCTGTGGCTTATTTATAAAATATGGTTGCTGTTTTTTTTTAATCAAATTTACCCCCACTTTGGGAACCACTGTGTTAGATGACTGAAACCGATACCACCTGAACACAGTGTGAAGCTTTTCCAGAACTTCACAGACTGTCGTGTGGATGCTACAGCTGGAGTTTTCACATTATGACGTCAGCATGATGCTGTTTTCTCCTCTCTGATTGGCCAACATTGCTAGGTTCACACCAAACGCAAAGACACGGCTGCATATTTCGTGTTGTTTGCCCACGGGATGGTATTGTCACGTTTACATTGATTTGTATGCAATTGACCCACGAAAATACCTAATTCCTCATTTGGTACGAACCCAGCTTACGTGTCGTTATCGCCTCCTGTTGGTTCGTGCGTGCACATAACATGCATCACAGTGCGTTTTGCTGCTGTACAGAATGACTGAGTGTGTCTCTGTCTGTCTCTCAGGGAGCGTCAGCTTTGTTTGATATGATCGAGTATTATGAATCCGCCACTCATCTCAACATCTCCAACAACAAGCACATCGGCACCCGGGGCTGGCAAGCCGCCGCACACATGATGAGGAAGGTGAGTCCTCATGTTATACTTTCAGCTTCCTGTTATTTAAGCATGAGAAAGATCTGGAAACTTACTTAGTGTAAATCAGTCAGATATTGTTTTCTATATCAGTAATGCAGTTTCTGATCAAACTCAAACCCCTCAGCTCTTCTGAGTTTTTATGTTTGAGCATTGACGACACAATACCACACATTTAAATGAAAGGGGGCGGAGCCTGGTTGAGTTGTGTTATGCCTCATTCACACTAGCAGTGACTATGTAGCTCTGTCGCTCTGGGTGGCGATTAAAATCAATAGTTGGCGTTCCCACCTTGAGGTTGCTTGGGTAAAGTTTATAGTAAAAATACCAGAGAGCGAATGAGTTTATATCGCTAAAGTAAAGATTTTTCAGAGAAAACACAAAATATAAATGTAATCAGTACATATAACGCTTAATTACACAGAGGATCAAGAAAAAAGTGTTCTCTACTCTCCTATCATTGTGGCTATTATCTACTGCAAATGCAGGTCTGTGTAGGACTACAGCATGAAGAATACAGTCAGCCTCTGCAGGAGCTGAGAGAGGATCACGTGATCTACTCATGCTCCTATTGGCTCTTCATTTGCATAAAATAAAAAAAGATAGAGGTCGCCGGAAGTTGCTTGCTCTTCGTTGAAATGAACGGTCACTGGTCGCTTGTGAGTCGCTTGTAGTGTGAACGCAGCTTTAGTGGCGGGGATGCCAACAATGGAATATTTAGTAGGGGGGCGGGGTTTTATCACCTTTCACTCACAGCACACTAATGGTTGGAGGGGTGTGGCTAAGTATATTTCACTAATCGTTGGAACAGGTGATTGGTTTCGACACAATGTCACACATTTAAATGAAAGGGGGCGGAGCCTGGTTGAGTTGTGTTATGCCTCATTCACACTAGCAGTGACTATGTAGCTCTGTCACTCTGGGTGGCGATTGAAACCGTTAGTTGGCTTCCTACCTTGAGTTTGCTTAAGTAACATTTATAGCAGAGAGCGAATGAGTTTATGTGCCGCTAAAAGTAACGATTTTTCAGAAAAAGCTAAATCTAAATGTAATCAGTTCATAAAACGCTTAATTACAAAGAGGATCAAGAAAAAAGTGTTCTCTACTCCTATCATTGCGGCTATTATCTACTGCAAATGCAGGTCTGTGTAGGACTACAGCATGGAGAATACAACCACCCACTGCGGGAGCTGAGAGAGGATCACGTGATCTACTCATGCTCCTATTGGCTCTTCATTTGCATGAAGTCAAAGGATTCTCAACTTTGTCGCGTCACTCGGTACGCCAACGGTAGATAGAGGTCGTGGGAAGTTACTCTTCATTGAAATGAACGGTCACTGGTCGCTTGTGAGTCGCTTGTAGTGTGAACGCAGCTTTAGTGGCGGGGATGCCAACAATGGAATATTTAGTAGGGGGCGGGGTTTTATCACCTTTCACTCACAGCACACTAATGGTTGGAGGGGTGTGGCTAAGTATATTATACTAATCGGTGGAACAGGTGATTGGTTTCAACACAATATCACACATTTAAATAAAAGGGGGCGGAGCCTGGTTGAGTTGTGTTATGCCTCATTCACACTAGCAGTGACTATGTAGCTCTGTCACTCTGGGTGGCGATTGAAACCGTTAGTTGGCTTCCTACCTTGAGTTTGCTTAAGTAACATTTATAGCAGAGAGCGAATGAGTTTATGTGCCGCTAAAAGTAAAGATTTTTCAGAAAAAGCTAAATCTAAATGTAATCAGTTCATAAAACGCTTAATTACAAAGAGGATCAAGAAAAAAGTGTTCTCTACACTCCTATCATTGCGGCTATTATCTACTGCAAATGCAGGTCTGTGTAGGACTACAGCATGGAGAATACAACCAGCCTCTGCGGGAGCTGAGAGAGGATCACGTGATCTACTCGTGCTCCTATTGGCTCTTCATTTGCATGAAGTCAAAGGATTCTTAACTTTGTCGCGTCACTCGATACGCCCACCTTGTTGCCAACGGTAGATAGAGGTCGCCAGAAGTTGCTTGCTCTTCATTGAAATGAACGGTCACTGGTCGCGTGTGAGTCGCTTGTAGTGTGAACGCAGCTTTAGTGGCGGGGATGCCAACAATGGAATATTTAGTAGGGGGCGGGGTTTTATCACCTTTCACTCACAGCACACTAATGGTTGAAGGGGTGTGGCCAAATATTTTTCACTAATCGGTGAAACAGATGATTGGTTTTGACACAATATCACACATTTAAATAAAAGGGGGCGGACCCTGGTTGAGTTGTGTTAACGGTAAATAGAGGTCACCGGAAGTTGCATGCTCTTCGGTAAAATAAGCGGTCACTGGTCGCTTGTAGTGTAAACGCAGCTTTTAGTGGTAGGGATGCCAACAATGGAATATTTATTTTATATATATTAAATATTACCATATCATCTAACCCAACAGGTACATTTAACTCATGAACTAAATTTGTAGTATATAATAAGTAATATATAACTCTATTAAACTTCTATAATTTTGACGTACTTAAGACAGATGAAGCGGGCTTATAACTAATTGAACTTTCTCAAAAAGTTCAGAAAACAAGATGCAGGACTTTATACGGTCCATGTTTTAAAACTCAAGCAGGTGTTTATTTTTGCTGGAGTATCCAATGCATGAGCTGTAAAGACCCGCCTTCTTTTGGAAAGGGGGCGGAGAACAGCCGCTCATTTGCTTTTAAAGGGATTCAAAATCTTGGGGGGTCCTTTCTGAAAGGGATGTTAACGGTGTAGTACAAGTGAGGTTTATTGTACTGTATATTGGGTACTATTAATAATAAATGAGTAAAATTAACCCTTTATCTGTGTGTGTGTGTGTTTAGACGAACTCTCTGCAGTATCTAGATGCCCGTAACACCCCTCTGCTGGACCATTCGGCTCCATTTGTGGCCAGAGCTCTTCGGATCAGCAGCAGTCTGACAGTCCTCCATCTGGAGAACTCCGGCATCTCTGGACGACCGCTAATGCTGCTGGGTAATCAATGGAAAAGCTTGTGATAGTTTTCACATGACTTTTTAGGATAAATCATTTTCCCCAAATGATATGTAAACAAACAAATTATAATGCGTCCTGTGTCATGTGTGTGCAGCCACAGCGCTGAAGATGAACATGAACCTCAGAGAGCTGTATCTGGCTGAGAATAAGCTGAACGGCCTGCAGGATTCAGCTCAGTTGGGCAATCTGCTAAAGTTTAACTACAACATCCAGATTTTGGACCTGAGGAACAATCACATACTGGACTCGGGTATGAGCTCTTCCTTCTCATGGCGTTGTGCTCCTCCTATTAGCGCTCTTCAGATTGATGTGTTTTCCTCTTTTCCTCAGGGTTGGCGTACGTGTGTGAGGGTCTGAAGGAGCAGAGGAAGGGGTTGGTCACGCTGGTGCTCTGGAACAACCAGCTCACACACAATGGCATGGGATACCTGGCCGCTGCGCTGGTAAACACACACACAGATAGATAGATAGATAGATAGATAGATAGATAGATAGATAGATAGATAGATAGATAGATAGATAGATAGATAGATAGATAGATAGATAGATGGATGGATGGATGGATGGATGGATGGATGGATGGATGGATGGATGGATGGATGGATGGATGGATGAAACGATGGATCATAGTAAGAAAGAAGGATGGATGGATAGATAGATAGATGGATGGATGGATGGATGGATGGATGGATGGATGGATGGATGGATAGAACATAGAACGAATGATGGATGGATGGATAGATGGATGGAACGATGGATCATAGTAAGAAAGAAGGATAGATAGATAGATAGATAGATAGATAGATAGATAGATAGATAGATAGATAGATAGATAGATAGATAGATAGATAGATAGATAGATAGATAGATAGATAGATAGGTGGATGGATGGATGGATGGATGGATGGATGGATGGATGGATGGATAGAACCATGGAACTTAGAACGAATGATGGATGGATGGATGGATGGATGGATGGATGGATGGAACCATGGAACCATGGAACATAGAACGAATGATGGATGGATGAATGGATGGAACGATAGATCATAGAAAGAAAGATGGATGGATGGATGGATGGATGGATAGATAGATAGATAGATAGATAGATAGATAGATAGATAGATAGATAGATAGATAGATAGATAGATAGATAGATAGATAGATAGATAGATAGATAGATAGATGGACGGACGGACGGACGGACGGACGGACGGACGGACGGACGGACGGACGGACGGACGGACAGACAGACAGACAGATAGATAGATAGATAGATAGATAGAACGATGGATCATAGAAAGAAAGAACGATGGATGGATGGATGGATGGATAGATAGATAGATAGCTAGATAGATAGATAGATGGATGGATGGATGGATGGATTTATAGATAGATATCATGCCTAGTAAAAGTGTGATGCAGAGCTCATCATTTAGTGAAATGCTCATTCAGGATGCTGTGTTTGTTTGTGTTTGTGTGTTTGCCAAATGCTGACCGTGCAGCGCTCGTGTTTATGTGTGTCCTGCCGGCTTTTTCTTAATTAAGGACTTTAGACACTCACAGCCTCTAATGCACTGCAGCATGCGCATGTCTGCTGAACAGAAAGCTTTGCTTTTACAGCACATTTTATAGCAAAGCTAAAAGTTGTTGATTTATATCTTGCAACTTAGATTCTTTTGCCCTGCGCTTGTGAGTTTTTATCATGTGATTCTGACTTATTTCTCATTATTGTAAGTTCACATCTCATAATTCACTTTTTATTTGATTGTAAGTTTTATGTTTTCCTCATAATTCAGTTTCTGTCTTGCAATTCTCAATGTTTTACACCTTGCAGTACTGTCTTTTTTCTACAGAGTTGTCTTTTAATTGTAAAAAGTCATGGCATTAAATAAACATATATGATGATGATGATCAGATGTTTTAATGATGGATGTCTCTCTCTCTCTGTTTCTCCAGCCGTTCACACAGAGCTTGGAAACACTGAATCTTGGACACAACGCAGTGGGGAATGAAGGAGTGCACAAACTGAAAGACGGACTGATCTCCAACCGCTCCATCCTCAGGCTGGGTCTGGCCTCCACCAAACTCTCCTGTGAAGGTCAGATCTCCACTTACTGAAGTACATCATTATTGTTCATTATTTTAAGTGTGTGTGGACACGTGGTCATGTGACATAGTTAGTACACAAAGATTTTTTCCCATATTAGCACATGAGAAATAATCTGATCTTTGGCAAGTCTTAAAATTTGGAAAATAATCCTAGGATGACCAGCAGCATAGAAGTCAAAATTGATTATTATATATTATTATTATTTCTTCAATTATTATTGTTTCCCATATGATGTTTTACAGAACAAGGACATTTTCACAGCATTTCCAATAATATTTTTTTCTTCTGGAGAATGTCTTATTTCTTTGAGTTTAGCTGGAATAAAAGCAGTTTTTTCATTTTTTTTTTTAAATAATGTCATTATTTAATATCAACCTTGATATATATATATATATATATATATATATATATATATATATATATATATATATATATATATATATATATATATATATATATACATACACACACACACACTGTGCAGAGCAAAAGTTTAGACACTCCTTCTCATTCAAAGAATACTGGCACAATTTTGCACGGCTATCTATCTATCTATCTATCTGTCTGTCTGTCTGTCTGTCTGTCTGTCTGTCTGTCCGTCCGTCTGTCCGTCCGTCCGTCCGTCCGTCCGTCCGTCCGTCCGTCCGTCCATCCGTCCATCCATCCACCTATCTATCTATTGTTTGTCCGTCTGTCCGTCCGTCCATCCATCCATCCATCCATCCATCTTTCATCCGTCCGTCTATCCATCCATCCATCCATCCATCCATCCATCATCTATCTATCTATCTATCTATCTATCTATCTATCTATCTATCTATCTATCTATCTATCTATCTATCTATCGTCTGTCCGTCCGTCCGTCCATCCATCCATCCACCTATCTATCTATTGTTTGTCCGTCTGTCCGTCCGTCCATCCATCCATCCATCTTTCATCCGTCCGTCCATCCATCCATCCATCCATCCATCCATCCATCCATCCATCCATCCATCCATCCATCCATCATCTATCTATCTATCTATCTATCTATCTATCTATCTATCTATCTATCTATCTATCTATCTATCTATCTATCCATCCATCCATCCATCCATCCATCCATCCATCCATCCATCCATCCATCCATCCATCCATCCATCCATCCATCCATCCATCCATCCATCCATCCATCCATCCATCCATCCATCCATCCATCCATCCATCCATCCATCCATCCATCATCTTAATTTAATCTAATCTCAGAGGTCGTGTTAGACTTTTTAATTGTCCGTCATTTTGATGGAGAGGGTTGTAAAAATTCCATCATGACCTATTATTGACCCTCATTTAATTTGCATATTTTCTAATCGCTTTTTCATTCGTATTTTATTAATGAACTTGCACGATCAGCATATAGGCTAAAATGTTCATTTATTTGACAAACAAACCTATCTGCCTGGGTGCAAACGAACCTATCTAACTGGGTGCTTTCCTGTGCGTAATCAAGCGCATCAAGGGAGACTGATGCACAGGCTATTGTCATTAAATTCTGTGTCTTTACCTCAAAAGTCGACTTCTCCTGATAGTTTAATTTTGTTCTGGAGGCTGAAGCTGTGTTCTGCTGCCACACTGGAGACCGGAATTACTAGAGCCACTTTAGCTAGTGAAGAGCGGGAGAGGTAGGTGTGGTGCGCGCAAACTGAAAGGCGCGGAGCAGGTATGCGCTCCCTGCTCGCCTCACTAACACCACTTCCAACAGCAACCTAGTGTTCCCTTGTGGTCTCCCATCCAGGTACTGACCAGGCTCAGCCCTGCTTAGCTTCAGTGAGTAACCGGTCTTTGGCAGCAGGGTGATATGGCTGTGCAGGTTTGCACAGGTTTGACAGGTTTGTCTGTTTTTGCAACTACGCAGCGGTGACAAGAGGAGACAAAACAAGGACAATCGCCATCACCTGGACAGGAGTGGGAATTACAGTTAGCAACAAATTACAATAGATCACCCTCAGCATAATCCATAAAAATGATGGATCACCTTCAGATTTTTCTGCCACTGCTAAAAAAAAAATCGGTCAATGATGGAAAACATTCGATTAACGCAACCTCTGATATATATATATATATTGTCTACAGAACAAACCACTGCCATTCAATGACCTACCTAATTGTCCTAACTTATAACCTAGTTAAGCCTTTAAATGTCACTTTTTTCACAGGTGAATACTAGTATAATAAGACAAATATTAATAACTTTGGCTAATAATTTTGTCTTCATGCATTTGTTAATTGATAACTATTCAGATATGGAGGAGGATGAATATAAATATTTCACAATTTATGATTGCAAAATTAAAAAGGCAAACACACACAGTGAAAAACTGATGTTACTTTAAAATCTTAACCTCAGGAACGTTTGGACTGATCTCTGAACTTCATTACTCAACTATTCTTTGTTTTTAAATCCAACTTTCTTTTGTACGAATAAAATCTGCTCCATTACCAAGTCACTAAACATTAAACAATATCAAAATAACAGTCAAATAATAAAAAAGTGGCGTCCAGGAAGGAATTCAACCAGTGGAAATAGTACATGATCTAACAGCTTACATATATCTGCCTGTTTTTGATATTGGTCCGATAATGACAGCATTAAAAATAGCATTCATTGATGAATGCCAAAGCTAATGATGAGCAGAAGTGTGATCGGTGTGTTGGTCCGGAGCTTCACACTCGTCCCACAGCTAAAACTGAGTCAAAGTAGTACAGTCAAAGCGTCAAAGCAGCGACTTTCTTGCTGTGTGGTGACAGTGGTAATCACTAAGCCACTGTGTAAATTGAATGTACTGTTGTCACTCTATTTATATATGTATTTATTATTATTTTATTTATTTATGTATGTATTTATTTATTTATTTATTTTATTTTTTTATTTTAAAAAGATTTGGCAGCCCTTTTTTACAATTTTTTTTTTATAATTACTTTTCCTTTAATTTTTTTTATTTTTTATTTATTTATTTATTTTTATAGTTTTTTAGGCAGTGTATTTAGGGTTTGTTAAAATGGGTTTATATGTATAAAAAATTATAATTTTATAATTAATATTTTATTTGTTGTGTGTGTGTGTGTTTGTGTGTGTTTGTTTGTGTGCGTGCATGCGGGTGTGTGTGTGTGTGTGTGTGTGTGTGTGTGTGTGTGTGTTTGTGTGTGTTTGTGTGTTTGTGTGTGTGTGTGTGTGTGTGTGTGTGTGTGTGTGTGTGTGTGTGTGTGTGTGTGTGTGTGTGTGTGTGTGTGTGTGTGTGTGTAACAGGAGCGGTGGCCATCGCAGAGTTCATCGCTGAGAGTCCAAGGCTGCTCCGGCTGGACATGCGAGAAAACGAGATCAAGACCGGAGGCCTCATGGCTCTCTCTCTAGCATTTAAAGTCAACACGTCTTTACTGAGACTCGACCTGGACCGAGAGCCCAAGAAGGAGACGGTGAGAGCTGGGAGAATCTCATATACAGCAGGACTGAGCTAATACAGACAGGCAACTTTAACATATTACATGAACCATTGGTTTTAAATTATGCAAAAATCACTTTTGTAAGGGGTTGAAACAGTTGTGTGAATTTAAACATCCTCTAATGGTAAAAGTGAATCATTTATAAATAGGTGGCGCTGCTCCAGAAGTTTTTGAGTACTTTCAGGGCATGGGGTTGAAGATGCATACCATGTTTTGTAATGATATGTGAATATGTTGTTAAAATATAGCATTTTTGGCCAAAAATCGAAATGGGCGATGCCCAAAATGGCTGACCTGTGAAAATTCGACATGCTCTGCCGGATGTAATGAGACCAGTTTTATGAGTTTCGGACGAAAGGTTGAGACGTTATAAACCAAAAAAGCTATTTTTTTCCTATCTCCGGACCACTAGGGGGCAGTTCGCCGAAACTCTGCATATAACCTCAGACCCTAGTTGTCATAACACACACCAAGTTTGGTGTGAATCAGTGAATGCGTTACGGAGATATCGCCTCAAATCCATTTTCGCAAGTTCTACGTTACATTTGATTGCAAGTTAAACGAAAACATGTGGTCTAATCAACTTGAATTCCATAAATTTGGGTTGGCATGGTCTGTAGATCATGTGTTTAAATTTTGGTGAAAATCGGAGACACGGCCTAGGACGAATTCAATCAAATAGGTTTTTCGAAAAATTTTAAAAAGTGCGAAAAAATTCATGACAGAAAATGACGTCGTAGGATGCGTTTGTATCGGACTGAGCCAAGGAATCAGAGGAAAAAATAGAATTTTGATTGTAGCCCATTCGGTTCAAAAGTTATCATGATAAATACACGTGAAAGTTTGGACCAGTGGTGGCGCTAGAGAGTTTGATGTTGAGACTTCATATTTGGTCTGATTAATGTTAAGACTGTCCTCTATCCTTGTGCCAAATTATACAACTTTCCCGCATATGCCTATATGGGCTGCCATTCAAATCCGGCGGAAGAAACGGAAGAAGAATAATAATAATAGGAACGCTAACGAAAGCAATAGTTGCCTACACACCTACGGCGCTTGGCCCCTAATTAGACTTGATTAAAACAGTCTGCTGGTTGGCATTCTCCCTTTGTACGTGTCATCAGAGGGGGAAAGCCCCGCCCACTAGTGACCATCTCTCCCTCATTAGCATAGGATGATAGTCTTGTTTTTGAATCTGCCACTATGCTGACACACAGGCATCAGAAGCACCTCTCTTTTTTTACTGCACACCACTGGTGATGTGTATTGATATACAGCTGAAGGCAAAACTATTAGCCGCCTGTGGAAATCTTTTTCTTTAAAAAAATAAAAGCAGTTTACATTTTTTACAGGTAATTATATATACGAGTGTTCAGCAGGTGTGTGACATTGACACTGTTTATTGCATCCCCGCACTGCATCTGTGTTTCCAGGTGAAGAGTTTCATTGAGACACAGCGCGCCCTGCTGGCCGACATCCAGAACGGCTGCAAGAGGAACTTCATATTGGCCAGAGAGAAGGAAGAAACCGAGCAGAAGATGAGACTCTCGGCTTCAATGGCAGAAATCGCCACTGAGGACCAAACCCACGAAGAAGAAGAAGAAGAAGAAGCATCCCCTTTGAAGAAAATCGAAGAAGAAACCACAGACGCTCCGAAAGATGCAACCCAGGAGAGCAGTGAAGTGTCTGAAAACCAAGAGCCCAAAGATCAGGAATCAACACCGCAGGATGATTCAGATTCAGACACTGAAGATGAAGAAACGCCAACAAACACTTCATTAACATCCACATCTCCAATACCCATTCCAGCTGCAGCAGACACCAGTAAAACCATCCCCTCCACTCCTCCTATAGCATCTCCAGCCGTCATTTCAGGAATTACAGTAACAGAAGCCAGCATTGTCACACCGTCATCTCCTGGACGATGTATTTCAGTGTCCAGTCCAGGAAGAGGACACAAAATCTTCATGGTAACCCGTGTGGAAAGCCCTCCCGAGCAGCAGCAGACGAGTATCGCAATGCTCAAAAGCATCCAGCCGTCAGCAATAACTGATATAAAAGCACCTTCGCAGACGCAGAATTCAACACAACCCACAGAGAAATCGCATGCAGAAAAGACACCAGATGCACAGCAGGAGGATTCAGTATCCACAAGCACACCGAGTCTGGATGCTAATATTGACCAGACTCAGTTGACAGAGAGTGTCAGTGAGGAGGAGCAGAAGAAAGCAGAAACACTAAACAATGAAGCTGATATAAATGAAGACGCAAACACAGGAGCGCCGCTGCCCAACGGTCTGAAGCCAGAGTTTGCCTTGTTTGAGTTTGAGGGAGCCAAACCAGCCAGCTGTATCATGGAGCACGGTGAGTTCACGCTGCATTCACCTGACGATAAGCTTTCAACACATTGTCATGTTTACTCCTGGGAGAACTTTTTCTAGAGGAGCTGTCGACATGAAGTTGAAGCAGATTTTGGTAAAAACCCAAACAATACACACATGAAAATAAAACTAAACAAATCTGAAAAATTAGTTATGTGTCATAATTAAATAACAGAAACTACTGAAACATATTTAATAGGGGTGTCACGATTTCGATTTTAAATTTATGCTTAATTTCGATTATCAAATCAAAAAATAGAATCGTCGATGCTGCCACGCCCCCATGTCACGTCAGCTTGGCTTGCCAAGCGGGAAAAAAACACGCTTGTTGAACTGCTGAAGCAGGAGACAAAGCTTAAACCCTCTCCTTTTTCAATGAAGTCACCGGTGTGGAAGCATTTTGGATTTCCAGTGAGTTACGTTGACAACCTTCGTGTTTTCGAAAAAAAACAAACACAGTTTTGCAAGCTCTGCTATGTACGTATTAGGGTTCGTCCGATTGACAACACCGGCATCTTGCTCCTCCGCCCGCCCCCGTTGCAAATCCACTCGCGAAAAGTACACACTCAGGCCCTGTTTACACTGTCTTTGTTTTTAAATGGCATTTTAAAACGACAACGATTTGACATCCACAGTGGCGTGTAGCATTTCTGAGCAGTAGAGCTGTGAACCTACACTAGTCTCACGGTTCGGTTCGGTTACGATTATCATGCCATCGATTCGGTTCAATTCGATAATTCAGTGCATTGACGATGCTTTTATATTATTTTCACAGCTGCAGCTCTTGTATGAAAATGTATGAATATATTTATATTTATATAGGCTATTATTTGTAATACAATTGTGTCATTTAATAGAAACAGTCAGATATATAAACTGAAACTTTTTAAAAAACGAGCATTAAGCAAATAATATAAACAAATATAAATATCCAGCTCAATTTCTGATCCTTGTCTAGTTCTCTTACACCCCTTTGATTGAGATTGATTGGGTTGCGATTGGCTCTTGCGCGCTGTGCTCTTCAGATGTATTATATGCGGCAAGCGGCAGCGGCAGCGGCGATCAAACGGCTGATGTATGATAGACACGGTGGAGAAAACTCTGCAGACACGCGCTCGTTTCTGTATCCAAAAGTAACGCTGTAAAACAGCCGAGAGGAGAAGAAAAGCCACGCCAGCAGGTCAAATGGGCCACTGTGTGTGTGTGAGAAAGAGAGAGAGAGAGAGAGAGAGAGAGAAATGGAGTAGGCTACTTTCATTCTCAAACTCACACAGTGAAATTGTGCACAGTTCATGAGTATTAAGTAGTTAAAGCGCTGTAAATACTCGCAATCGTCTCCCTCGTGACAGAGCGCATATGAGGTAAATGACGTCAGTAATAACCGGTTATGATTATTACTGAACCGAATCCGAATTGTCTGCGTCTGCATCGCGGTGCATCGAAGAAACGATTAATTTTGACACCCCTACTGAGCAGCCCTCCTTCCTCTCTACCTCTGAAAATGCACATCACGTGACCACACACACACAGACGCACACACAGCCATGCGCTCGAGACAGCAGGTCCAGGCAGTCAGAGGACTGCTTCAATCTTTCACACAGGTACTTAGTCATTTTAGCGAACACCTCAGATGCTGTTGGCTGGTTCCTGTTGGTTGTGCCTCTTTTTTTACCGACGCCATTATAACGACACAGATCACTGCCTATTCACGAGTCCCGCAGAAAAAGTGATTGACAGGTGGTAATTATGTGTGTATCTTGCCTTTATTCATTTACTGTATGATTTGTTTATAGGGAAAACAAAGACCATGCAGGTCAGGTAGTTTAAACGGCAGGCTACAAATAATTAATTGGTCATGAATTAATTAGTTATTCATAATCGAAAATCGAATCGTGCCTTTAGAATCGAAAATGTAATGGAAACAAGGATTTGGAGGATCGTGACACCCTTAATATTTAATACTTTTTAAAAAGATTTTTTTGTTTTAATGATGGCAGCTTAAAGATGCCTCTCATATGAAGAATGAACACTCATGCATTGCTCAGGTGTGAGTTTTTCTTAGGGTGCTTTCACACTTGGTTCATTTGCCTGGACCGTACCCAAGTTTGACGTAACAACCCCCCCTCGGTACTTTCTCGGTTGTTTTAAGTGTCTTTTTTCCTTCTGAACTCCGTTACGCTTGCGCCATCGAGCTGATGTTGTGTGTATGGCTGTTGCTAGGTGACGGACATGAAAGCAAAGTGTCAAAATGGAAAGACGTAGGCTATGGGTCGCGGTCGTTCTGCAGTCTTTTCGTTTTGGACATACAAATAGCGACTATCCATCTGCCGCATAATGCGATGTCCACAAAAGCTGTTTTTGGAGGAGACAAGCAGACATTTCCCTGTGTTTATAATAATAATAATAATAATACCTTTTATTTTTAGGCGCCTTTCAAAGCACTCAAGGACACCTTAGCGCAGATCACAAGCACATCATAAAAATACAAGCAGTAAAAATAACAATCAGCGTAGTATTAAACCAGCAAATAATTAAAAGCGATCCTCAACAAACAAAAACGTTTTTATCTGACATTTAAAATGGGAAATAGAGTCCATCTGGCGAATGTCAGAGGCAGAGAATTCCACTAAAAGCCCCGCCACCAAATGACTTCATCTTAAAGTTTGGAACAGATAACAGTTCAGCAGAAGATGATCTCAGTGAGCGCGAGGGAGTGTACAATTGAAGAAGATCAGAAAGATAGTGAAGATGTTTGCCCTGGCTCAGTCCCACTTGTCACCAGGGTACAGTACGTGACACACACACACACACATACACACACACACACACACACACACACACGCACACATGAATGAACGTTATGAAAATGATAGTTTATTGTACTGTTGGCGGTTCTCGTGAAACGTACCCCAGACCACCTCTTTCTGGCTGACTCGGGTACGGTTCATGGGTGCTCACCCGAGTTTATAAGACACATTCGCAGCTGAACGTACCGTACTCTGACGTCAAACAATCCCGGGTGCAGACCAAAAGCGCTAGTGTGAAGCACCCTTAGACTTCAACAGAGTGTCAAAATCTTGATGCTTCTGTGGGTCTCGTCTGTCAAATCTGAGCTTTATTCTGTATTCTCTATTGGAGTCGGGTCAGGTGATTGGCTGGGCCATTCTACAGCTTGATTTTCTTTCTCTGAAAGCATCAGAGGGACTCTTTGTCTGTGTTTTAAGTCATTGTCTTGCTGAAATGTCCACCCTGGTTTTATCTTCATCCTCCTGCTAATGTAGATGTCATTAATATTAATTTACACTGAGGAAGAGCAGAGGCTTGCTGAAGAACTACTGAGAGATTTCAGCTGCTGTCTGGGCTTTCCATGCCTTTCTACTCCTCCCTTTCTTTATGTGTTCAATACATTTTCCCAGTGTTGTTTCATTTTTTTATGCAAGACTTCATTTGTAAACCAGTTAGTTGTGTTTTCTTCACATATACGCATTGCTTTGGTTGTTACCAACATCTGTTGAGAATTTCAAGTCAACAGCACCTTTAGAATCTGTGTTTTCTGAGAGAAATTCAATACTTATTTCCCCCACTGTATCTGTCAAAATGCATGGTGTCAGTGCTTGTTGTGGAATAGAGTGAACTAAGCATTGAAGCGTTGCTCTTTTTGATCAGGTATTTTGATGGATCTGAAGTTCTGTTCATGACATGTTTATTACATCTTGTGAAGACCACAGAAATATATGATGAACTTAATTACTTCAAATAAGATATGTACTGAATAAAAACTGTGTGTGTGTGTGTTTTGTGTCTTTGTATGTCTCTGTGTGTTTTGTGCCTGTCTTTGTGTGTTTGTGTGTGTGTCTTTCTCTCTGTGTTTTGTATCTGTGTGTTTGTGTATGTTTTGCCTCTGTGTGCGTCTCTTTGTATGTCTCTATTTGTGTGTTTTGTGTGTGGTTGTGTGTGTCTGTGTCTCTTTGTGTGTGTGTGTGTGTGTGTGTGTATCTCTTTATTTGTTCGTCCCTATCGGTGTGTGCTTGTGTGCGTTTGTTTTGTGTGTGCCTTTGTCTGTCTGTGTGTGTTTGCGTGTGTGTGTTTCACTTTGTATGTCCTTATCTGTATGTGTGTGGCTTTGTCTGTCTGTGCATGTGTGTGTGTTGTGTTTATCTGCCTGCCTGCCTGTCTGTCTGCCTGTCTGTCTGTCTGTCTGTCTGCCTGTCTGTCTGCCTGTCTGTCTGTCTGCCTGTCTGTCTGCCTGTCTGTCTGTCTGTCTGTCTGTCTGCCTGTCTGTCTGCCTCTCTGCCTGTCTGTCTGTCTGTCTTTCTGTCTGCCTGTCTGTCTGTCTGCCTGTCTGTCTGTCTGCCTGTCTGTCTGCCTGTCTGTCTGTCTGCCTGTCTGTCTGCCTGTCTGCCTGTCTGTCTGTCTGTCTGTCTGCCTGTCTGTCTGCCTGTCTGTCTGTCTGCCTGTCTGTCTGCCTGTCTGTCTGTCTGTCTGTCTGTCTGCCTGTCTGTCTGCCTCTCTGCCTGTCTGTCTGTCTGTCTGTCTTTCTGTCTGCCTGTCTGTCTGCCTGCCTGTCTGTCTGCCTGTCTGTCTGCCTGTCTGTCTGTCTGCCTGCCTGTCTTTCTGTCTGTCTGTCTGTCTGTCTGTCTGTCTGCCTGTCTGTCTGCCTGTCTTTCTGTCTGTCTGCCTGCCTGTCTCTCTGCCTGTCTGTCTATCTGTCTGCCTGCCTGTCTGTCTGTCTGTCTGCCTGTCTGTCTGTCTTTCTGTCTGCCTGTCTGCCTGTCTGTCTGTCTGCCTGCCTGTCTGTCTGCCTGTCTGTCTGCCTGTCTGTCTGTCTGCCTGCCTGTCTTTCTGTCTGTCTGTCTGTCTGTCTGCCTGTCTGTCTGTCTGTCTGCCTGTCTTTCTGTCTGTCTGCCTGCCTGTCTCTCTGCCTGTCTGTCTATCTGTCTGCCTGCCTGTCTGTCTGTCTGTCTGCCTGTCTGTCTGCCTGTCTGTCTGTCTGTCTGTCTGTCTGTCTGCCTGTCTCTCTGCCTGTCTGTCTATCTGTCTGCCTGCCTGTCTGTCTGTCTGTCTGCCTGTCTTTCTGTCTGTCTGCCTGCCTGTCTCTCTGCCTGTCTGTCTATCTGTCTGCCTGCCTGTCTGCCTGTCTGTCTGCCTGTCTCTGTCTGCCTGCCTGCCTGTCTGCCTGCCTGTCTGTCTGTCTGCCTGTCTGTCTGTCTGTCTGTCTGCCTGTCTGTCTCTCTGCCTGTCTGTCTGTCTGTCTTTCTGTCTGTCTCTCTGCCTGTCTGTCTGTCTGTCTGTCTGTCTCTGTCTGCCTGCCTGTCTGTCTGTCTGTCTGTCTCTCTGTCTGTCTGTCTGTCTTCCCGTCTGCCTGTCTGTCTGTCTGCCTGCCTGCCTGTCTATCTGCCTATCTGTCTGTCTGCCTGCCTGTCTGTCTGTCTGTCTGTCTGTTTGCCTGTCTATCTGCCTATCTGTCTATCTGTCTGTCTGCCTGCCTATCTGTCTGTCTGTCTGTCTCTCTCTCTCTGTGTCTGTATGTGTGTGTGTTAGTGAGTGTGACGGCAGAGCTGAGCTGTGGGCAGGATTTAGAGGAGCTTCTCCTTGATGCCAGTCTGGAAACCAGCAGAGACGCACCATAATAACTTCGAGACCAAGGTGAAGCAAGCAGATCCACATCTTCACGAAGACACTCTTCAATAATAACTCATCAGTGTTTAATAATAACCCCATATTCATCTCTCCTCAGGGTCCACACGTGCAGCGAGAATCAGAAAGGCCGGTTTGTTCATTGCCCATATTCCTCAGGTCTCTTTCCATCTCTCTTCTGCTTTCAACACATTTTACATCAACAACACGAAGAACTTCAAATATCCATCCTAAAACATGCCAAAATTAGGACAAATCCAATCTATCATTCACTGAACACACTTATTCAGCCATTTGTGTGCTTCAAAAGCACACAGCTACCAAAGACACACGTGGAGAAACACACACATGATAGCAAAACGGACCCTGCTGGACCACACTGAGCAAACACACACACACGTCATTGGATGTTGTTTAGCAAGTCTGTGTGTGCGTTTGTCATTATTAGTGTCTCTTCAACGCACACAAACACACACACATAGACTTACCAAAGTGATGCACACCCGCTTTCCATATGATCCTGCTCAGGAATGGGTTAAAACGGCCACTTCTGATCTCCACCAATCAGCACTTGTGAAAGCATTAGAAACCTGTGTGAGTATCTGGCGCGATCGGATGGGATCGCCGTTTTTATCGAGTCGCCAGACGAAACAGACGAATGAATTGTACAGTTTTCCACCCTGTTTTTGTCTCTCTCTCGCGCTCATTCTGTCTTCCACCGGTTATCACTCATCAGACACGTTTGCCTTTAAACCTCTTTGTTATTCTGGCTGAATCGGTTTCTGTTTACTTCTGATTCATTTCCTTTTATTCCCCCCTCCCTCCTCTCTTCATGTCTTTTTTTAAAGCTGTTGTGGGATTTCCCTCCTCTTTTTTTCTTTGGTGTATATTTTCAGATTCTTTAAAGAGCAAATATTAAGTTTAAAGGTTTACTTTTTCGATTGGTTGGGGTTTTCGGGGCTCTGTTGATTTATATAAAGGGGATGGAGCTCTAGAGAGTATATATGATGTAAATGGAGAGTGTGTTTTGGGGCAGCCGGATTATGAGACTTCATAAAGAAAACACTAAAGTTGTGAGGCTACCGCCTGCTGGAGACACTAGAGACTACACTTTACCTCGAGAGAAGCTTGACCTGATCAATGTAGTACTCGCCACCATTCCTGTGGTTTTGGTTCTTTCTCTTTTTCTCCCGAGCGTCTCGGAAAAAGCAGACGTCGGCCTCTACATCCAGATCGTCTTCGACCTTGAGAAATCCACACTTCTGTGAGCCCCACACACCTGATGTTTGTAATGCTTTATTTTTAGTAATTTTTAAAAATTACCTGTTAAATTAATCAAACTGTACTGGTAAACACAGAGAAATGTGTATGGCTTTTCCCTCTCAAATAAATGCATGTAATGACAAACCTGCAGCGCTGCTGGTGAATGCTTGTGTTTGCACGATTGCATTAATGGCTGATGTTGAATTTGTGTAGCATTCAGGGTTGAGTTATAATTTAAAACGCATATACACCCATTGCATTATCAGCTTTTTGCTTGAATGTGACACGTTTAGTTATTTTTGCTACTCGAAATCATGCTGAAACTGGTATTTGGTACCATATTTGAAGTCAAGTCTGACTTTATTGTCACTCCTCTACATGTGTGGACATACAGTGGAATGAAATGCTGTGTTTCGCTGTGTGCTACATAATTATCAATATCAGAGTACCCGAAAAAAAAATAATTTTGATCTCAAATTAATAGCCTTAATAGCCTTGAATTTGGCACACAAAGGCTTGGATTTCGTTACAAAGGTCTTATTTTATTTATTTATTTTTGCCTTTCCTATGAATAAAGTTCATACCATAACAAAATTAACTGTTACTAATGTAGGCTAATTAAAAAATTCATGCAGCGTAACGTTGAGTGCATCTCGCGCTCCATCTCATAGCAGAAAGTGCGTCGCCGTAGCTTACGAGCACGTGTATTTGATTTGTTTCTACAGGTGGTTTGTCAGGCTCACTCACCTGTGTGAGTCACTCAGAAATGCACAATGTTTCATAAAGATATGGAGGGGTTGTAAGAAAGTGTCTAGGGTTTAAGTGTCCGGTGCATATGGAGAGAGAGTGTTTTTACACGTGGTTTTTCAGGCCCACTCACCTGTGTGAGGCGCACTCAGAAATGAACAATGTTTTTATGGAGATGTGGAGTGATTGTAAGAGTGTTGGTAGTTTAAGTAAAGTGTCCGGTGCATTTGGAGATGGAGTGTTTCTACAGGTGGTTTGTCAGGCCCACTCACCTGTGTGAGGCACGTTCAGAAATGCACAAGGTTTCATAAAGATAAGGAGTGGTTGTAAGAGTGTTTGGAGTTTAAGTGTCCGGTGCATATGGAGAGAGAGAGTGTTTCTACAGGTGGTTTGTCAGGCCCACTCACCTGTGTGAGGCGCACTCAGAAATGCACAGTATTTCATAAAAATATGGAGTGGTTGTAAGAAAGTGTCTGGAGTGTAAGTATAGTGTCTGGTGCATATGGAGAGGAAATGTTTCTGCATGTGGTTTGTCAGGCCCACTCAGTCAATGGGGCAAAAACAGCCCCGAACATAACCAAAGGGTAGTAAATTTTCCCGTAGTGTGTTGAGTTTTTGAAAAATTCCAAAACATTTTTCCCAAAGATCTCTGCTACAAGCGGCTGAAATGAGTTCCCTTCGCAGGGTGGCAGGACACACCCTTAGAGATAGAGTGAGGAGCTCTGTCACTCGAGAGGAGCTCGGAGTAGAGCCGCTGCTCCTCCACATCAAGAGAAATCAGCTGAGGTAGCTCGGGCATCTGTTTCGGATGTCTCCTGGACTCCTAGGGAGTTGTTTCAGGCATGTCGAACCGGGTAGAGGCCTTAGGGAAGACCCAGGCCACGTCTCTTGGCTGGCCTGGTAATGCCTTGTGATTCCCCCAGAGGAGCTGGAGGAACTGTCTGAGGAGAAGGAAGTCTGGGGTTCTCTCCTGAGACTGCTCCCCTGCGACCCGGCCCCTGGAAAAGCAGATGAAAATGAATAAATGAATGTCTCAAAATAAAATTTGTTACCAAAAATTCGCTGAAACAGAAAAAGTTATGGCCAAATTAAGACTCAAAATCACCACCGAGTGGATGAAAACATCCCTTAACAGCACACAAGGGTTAATATATCTTAATGCGAGTTATTATGAGTTTTGTGGAAGTTGAGTCGCTGTTGTTGTATGCCGAGTTTGCACAGGTTGAAACCCCCTGCTTTCATCTAAAAGAAAGCATCCCGTCAGGTGGTCTGGTATGTTATACACCCCGAGATGTATGCAAACAGTATCAAACAGGCCTGCAGCAGGAGAGCAATATGTTTGAGATTACCGAGCTTCTGTTGAACCCCGAGCACAGGACGTACACAAATACAGTAGAGAAGCAGAGCCTGAAATAATAAACCACAAACACACCTGAACGTCTGTTTAATGAGGGAATATAATCCTCAGACATTTGGAGACTCTTAGTGTAAGTAAAACAATAGTTAGGATCATTATTTCATCATCATGTCAACGTCAGTGGAGCTTGCTGTACTTTGGGATGTTCTGTGCTGTATATAAGGGATTTCTGAGGTATTTGACTCTTGGAGCTTATTATTATAAAGCTACTTTGAAGGAATTTTGGGTGTAATCCTCAGTGCCTGCCTTATATAATCACAGGGAGACGTCAGAGCGCCATGTCTCCATTTATTGAGTGATTTTACAGTACAGGATGGATGGATGATAAAACAATGGATGGATTGGTGGATAGAATGAGGATGGATGGACTGAAAGATGGAATGAATGACTAAATACAGCTGATAGATTTATTAAATAAACAATAGAATGATGGATGGGATAATAGAACAGTAGACGAATTGGTGGATTGAACAATGGATGGATAGAAGGATGGATGGGTGGATGGATGACATAATGGTGGGTGGATAGAGGGATTTAAGGATAGACTGATGGATAGATGATTGGATAGATTGAAAGATAGTCTGATGGATTAAAGGATAGACTGGTGGCAGGTTGGATGGATGAATAGAATGGTGGATGGATGGATTGAAGGGAGACTGATGGGTGGATTTGAGGGTAACATCATGGATGGATGGATCAATTGAAGAGAATGATGAGATCAGTGGGTGGATTGATTGAAGGATACTTCTAGGTGGATGGATTTAGGGATAGAATGTTGGGTGGATGAACAGAATGATGGATGGATGTTTTATACGATAGACTGATGAATGGGTGGATTCAGGAATAGAAAGATGTATTGAAGAATAGAATGATGGATTGATGGGTGGATGTATTGGAGAATTGATTGGTGGGTGGATGCATAGATTGAAGGATAGATGGATGGCCGGGTGGATGGATTGATTGATAGGTTGATAGATGGATGAACATGATGGATGGGTAGATGGATTGAAGGATAGAATGGTGGATGGATGGATGGATGGATGGATGGCTAGCTTGAAGGACCGAATGACAGATGGATGGATTGAAGGATAGAATGGTGGATGGATGGATGGATGGATGGATGGCTAGCTTGAAGGACCGAATGACAGATGGATGGATTGAAGGATAGAATGGTGGATGGATGGATGGATGGATGGATGGATGGCTAGCTTGAAGGACCAAATGACAGATGGATGGATTGAAGGATAGAATTGTGGATGGATGGATGGATAGCTTGAAGGACCAAATGATGGATGGCTATATGGATTGAAGGATAGAAAGGTGGATGGATGGATGGATGGATGGATGGATGGATGGATTGAACGGTGGATGGATGGATGGATTGAACGGTGGATGGATGGAAGGATAGAATGATGGATTGGTGAATAGAAGGGTGGATGGATTGAAGAATAGACTGGATGAGTGGATGGATTGAAGAATAGATGATGAATGGTGGATGGATAAATAGAATGAAAGATGGGTGAATGAATGGTTTGAAGAATAGGCTGATGGATAGATTGAGTGATAGAATGATGGATGGGTGGATGGATTATAAGATAGAATGATGGATGGCTGGGTGGATGAACAGAATGATAGATCTATGGATGGATTGATGGACAGAATAATGGACTGTATGAAAGATAGAATGGTGAATAGGTGGATGGATAGATGAACAGAATGATGGATGGATTGAAGAATGAAATGATGGATGGGTGAATTGGTTGAATCATAGATGGATAATAGAATAATGCACGGATGAATATGAACATCAGATTGAGATCTAAAATTGGCGTATTTTTGATCTGTTTTTGACACCAGTGTGAGATGTCAGTTTGACGTCATGTTGACATCAGCTGGATTTGCAGTCTTGACATGTTTCTCATAAAGTTATTTGACATTAAGGTTTCCGCTGGGTTTCTTTCAGTTTCTATGTGAGAACAGTTTCACAGTCAATCCTTCTGTGCAGTCGTGATTGTGAATTTTCTATTTAATTTGGCTTTCCTTTGAAAGCAGATTATACGTTGACCCCCGTGAGCCAGAAATTCTCCACACTGACCGTCCAGCAGCGAGTGTGAATGGAGAACGGGCTCTGCTGGAGAATGGCTTGTGTTCAGGTAAGATCTCCATTGGCTCTCAGTGTTTTGACTGCAGCCTGCTGTTGATTTAGGTCTTTAAAAAGCCTCTCGCTTGTCAAACTCAATGAGACGTGTTGGTCAGATCTGTCCCTCAGGCACAGAGAGAGTTAAAAACAGCCCTTTGGCCACAACCTCTGCATCTGAATTCCCTATAGACATATTTTATGAATATCAGAAAAGCCATGAGAAGATGAGGAGAATTGTGGAAGAGAAGCGAAGAAATGCTTCAGTTCTTCCAGCTCACTGACTTATGACTAAAGTGAACCGACGGACTGAAGATCCCTCACATGATAGTGCTTACACACACACACACACACACACACACACACACACACACACACACACACACACACTTCAGCATAACTTTATCCTGTTTTATCCTCAGACTGTCCTACCAGAGTTTATTGGCTATTATCAAGCTGCACATTATTTTGTAATAAAAATTACATGATCAGAAAGTCATGGCAGCATATTTTTTAATCTTTAGCTTATTTTGGTGAGATAATCAGATTTCTGCTTTATTTTTTTATTATTTGTACAAATCATAACTTGAAGTTTAAGTCATTTTAATTGAAGTTGAGGTGACTTATAAAGTTAACTTCAAAAATTGATGGTAGCAATACATTTTTTGCAACGTACGAGTGCATGGATTTCTTCATATGTGGGGGTGTTTATTCTATCCTGCTAGGGAAAACTGATGAGCAGGGCCAGACGGAATCTGCGGATGTTTTTAGCTATTTCTGAGGAGAATTTTAGTAAAAATCAGCGGATTTCTGCGGAATTATTTTGAGAGTCTCCAGCGGAGTATCATAACTAAAACCTTAATATAATAAATAAAAAGTAATAAATTACTGAATAAAAACTGAATAAATTCAGATTCACATATTTACTCAAGTAAATAAACAGAATTAATAATGGGCTAAAAATCATCTGCGGAATTCAGCGCGCGCAGATTCCGTGTGGGCCTACTGATGAGGTATTTTGCTCTGTAAAACGATCCAACTTTTGTAGAAATGTATAATAGTATATGTGGGGTGGCAGGGTGGCTCACAGCACTGTTACCTCACAGCAAGAAAGTCGCTGGTTTGAGTCCTGGAGTTTGCATGTTCTCCCCGTGTTAGCATTGGTTTCCTCCGGGTGCTCCGGTTTCCCCCACAGTCCAAACACATGTGCTATAGGGGAATTGATTAACTAAATTGGTCGTAGTTTATGAGTGTGTATGGGTGTTTCCCAGTACTGGGTTGCAGTTGTAAGGGGATCCACTATGCTGGATAGGTTTGCGGTTCATTTTGCTGTGGTGACCCCTGATAAAATCAAGTCGGGGAAAAAAAACGAGTGAATAATAGGATATGAAAGCCATAATTATTGTTTAATTGATCATTGCTAAGCCCACACGGAATCTGCGCGCGCTGAATTCCGCAGATTCCTGCAGATTTTTAGCCCATCATTAATTCTGTTTATTTACTTGAGTAAATGTGTAAATCGGAATTTATTTAGTTTTTATTTAATATATTACGTTTTTAGTTACTCCGCTGGATACTCCTGAAATAATTCCGCAGAAATCCACAGATTTTTACCAAAATTCTCTGCAGAAATAGCAAAAAAACGTCCGCAGATTCTGTCTAGCCCTAATCATTGCCCACACTGTCCTGACATTTTTATTCCTAAATTCAGCATTTAAATATCAAATAAATTATATTTAAAAATTATTCTTAAAAATGTGTTAGTCTTGACTCATCCCAGTACTGGGAAACACCCATGCACACTCATTCACACACAGTCATACATTAAGGCCAATTTAGCTTACCCAATTCCCCTATAGCGCATGTGTTTGGACTGTTGTGGAAACCGGAGCACCCGGAGGAAACCAATGCCAACACAGGGAGAACATGCAAACTCCACACAGAAATGCTAACTGACCCAGTCGGGACTCGAACCAGCGACCGTCTTGCTGTGAAGCCACAGTGCTAACCACTGAGCCACCATGCCGCCACCACATATACTTATTTAGATCATAATGCAATCGTTTGGATAAACTGTTTTGAGAAAGTAAACTGCTAAATGAACAAACGCTAATGTGAAAGGTGTTGTTTGTTTGGTGAGACAGTTGTGTTCGTAACACTAGAGCATGAAGAATGATTGGGGCAGTTTCTGCCATTGAGATGACTGGGTTAAGTTTCCAGTAAAACTGGTTCTCTTTACTGTATAAAGCTGATGATTCTGGTGGATGGAAGAGATACAATATTAGGGAAATTGAGCAGAATAAAAAGAGAAGAGAGGACTCCATTTAACCCTTAAAGACTGAGACAGCCGCCCGCGGCTAAAAATAAGTATTGCTCTTAAATGTTTAATAACTTTTGATCCGCTGATCCGATTCATACAATTCAAAGATTGGCATAAAGAAGAGAATCTCAGCTTTCCAGTGATGTATCACATAACATTCGCGGACTTTCAGAGGCTCCGGAATCAGTGCGGTTACTTCATCAAAATTTGACAACTCTGATTTGACAAAGAAACCCTCGTCACTGTGTCTCCGGACAAACCAGACATGATACATTGATGCATTGTCCCTCCTCCATGCCCAGATTGGTTCAAACTCGCTATATCACAACCAATAAGCATAGGTTTCGCTTTTGTTTGTGGACCATCAATGAGCTTTTTGAACAACACGGAATGAGAGATAGGCATACATTTATGCGCGGCTAAATAAACGCAAAAAAAAAATTTTGCATGAAATAATTCTCATACTAAGTACTTTTGCATGCACAGCAGCACAGAAACATGACAAAACAGTGACACAGCAAAGACGAACTGCTGCTCTTGCTGTTTTCAAAAGACGCAAATGAAGGTGCAGCTGTTTGTCTGCATTACAGACAACCATATCCAAATCCATATCCACAGACAACCATATCCATGCTGGCACATAAAACCTAATGATGTTCCATATTGAATCTAGTTTAGTTATGTAACTATTTATAGTATAGTAAAAATTTATATCTATTTTTTTTACCGAGGATTTGCACCATGTTTATTTGGACTTTGACGCATTATTTATTATTTTCTTATTTTTTTATTTGTTCATTGTAAGTGGTGTTGTTTATAGTAACTGGAAATATATTATTTGGAAAAAGTCAAATTTGCTTCACTGTTCTATTATTTTGTAACATTTTTTTTCTGTTTAGTTCATTCCCAGAACTTTTGGGCGAATACATTGTCAGTAAATAAATGCATTTTTTTCCCCCATAGAAAAACGCCTTGGAGGAACATTGAAATAAATTGCTATAACTTGCTCAGGGAATTGTGGATGTAGACAAAATTTATTTTGGAAGTATAAAACAACATAGCATGTATTTCTAAAGAAAGAAAAACAAACTTCATAAGGTTTTGTTTGAAATAACTAGAAAATGCCACTTTTTTTAAAAAATCGTTTCTGGAAAATTCTGGAATATTTTCTGTCTGTTCATATGTTTTTGGACCAAAAAATATTTTAGACTGGACCTTTAAATGATACAGATTGAAACTTCAGGTTCTCCTGTTTTAAATGATATATGACACTTGAGGCTGACTGCTAAAATAAAAATAAAACTGCTTTAAAAAAAATAATAATATAGGCCCATTAGGTGCCCACAAAATACCTCTAGGTCTTTAAGGGTTAAGAGAGAGCCTTTATTTTGCACGGCTCCAGCCTGATGATTTAGATCTCTTTTTTTGCTGACCAACATCAAACCTCAAAACAAAAACCTTTTTAAAGCACAGGATTGGTTGCAATATGAAGAGTCGTGCTGTTTTATTATCTATTTGTCAAACCCTCAGCTGTAGTTCCCTTTTTTTTTTATTGTTCATTTTTCAAAGGATGGTTTGGGTGGGTGTGGGATTTCTGACCTGAAATTGTGCCCCAGTCTGCTCCTGAGCACACACACACACACACACGCGCGCTCCGCTGGGACAGAAACTCACTCTGTTACTCTGGGAACTTTATAACCGTGTCTCATGCTGCTCTGAAGACTCTATATCCCTCAGGAGGACATACACAAACAGGTAAACACTGATTTATACACATACGCTTGATAGAAATGTTGTATATTTTAAATAATGCACGATTTTTATAGTATAAAATCCTTGATTGTAAACAAGTGTACTCATCTCTCTATACACAAAAACTTTGTTGGCTGTTTGTTCAAACTACTTATTTAAAATGAGTTGAAACAACCCAATTCTTGATGTTTTTGGGGGAAGAACTTCCTTGTTTAATGTTAAATCCACTTAAATCTGTGAAAAACTAATAAGTTAGCTTCATTCATTCATGTTGTCTCATCACAAATTGGAACCCAGGACTTTTACCGTGTATAAGAGACCACTTAGTTGCTGTATTTGTCAGTAAACTGTGTTTTTATTTCTGTAAACTATACTGATCACATTTCTACCAAAATTCCCTGCTAAAAAATCCAGCTTAAACCAGCCTAGGCTGGTTGGCTGGTTTTAGCTGGTCGACCATGCTGGTTTTAGAGGGGTTTTGGCCATTTCCAGGCTGGTTTCCAGCCATTTCCAGCCTAGTGTTAGCTGGTCAGGCTGGGAGATGACCAGCTAACACCAGCTTGACCAGCCTAGCCAGGCTGGGAGCCCAGCCAAAACCAGCTATGTCCATCTTAAACCAGGCTGGTCAAGCTGGTTTTAGTTGGATTGCGCTGGTCATTTAGCTGGAAACCAGCCTGGAAATGGCCAAAATCCCTCTGAAACCAGCCTGGTTTTTTTAGTAGGGTTGAAATACAAACGGTGTTTAAACTATATTGTTAACATAAAACAAATAGGCTATATTTTCAGAAATCTTTATCTTCAGTTTTTATTTCAGTCATATACCAAACTTATATGAATGTGTAACTTCAGAATATGTGAGAAATATATTGAATTTTTGGTGAAATATGCCTGATTTGTCTTTGGATCAAGTGAACAGTTATTCTGCAGTTGTCATTTTCAGAAATAATGCTTCAAATCTCAATGTTATATTTAAGGTTTGAAAGAAATGTTGTTAAACACATAATAATTCCAGGATATCCTGATGTTTCTGAAATTACCTCGTTTTTGTCGCCGAATAGATTCAAATTAATAATAACAAAACTATTTTTCAGATTGTTGAGTTTTAGCAAGAATCTATCTTTACTAAAATAATATGCTAAAAAGGCTGACAGGACATTAAATCATAATTAATGCCAGACAATCCCCAGCTAATAATATTTTAACGCAGCCTGAGTGAACTCATGATCTGTTAAGCACTTTTAATATAAGTATAAATACCTATAGACGTGTTTAAGCCAGCGTAAAGGCGCATTACTGTCTCTCGATCAAAGCTGGAAGCACATGAGAATCAATCTGCTGCTGTCGTGTGTTTTCCTCCAGTGAAAGTGTTGTAGTATCGCTGAAGTTCAGTGTGGAGTTTGTCCAGAAACATTCCCTCTGATTTTTACGGTCTAAAATGCACTGGAGTCCTGATAGAGATCATGGCAACCGAGACACTGCTTTCACACTTAGTATTCAAGTCGACTCTGTGCTTTTGTGTGTGTTTCTGACAGAAAACTCCTTCACGTTTCACTCGATGAAAACAAACAGACTTACGATCAAATCGTGTGATTTAAATCTAGCTATGCGAACGGGATGTTGTTCGCGATTCAGTTTGATTCATTCGGACAGTTCACTGAGTCGAGTCTGAATTCAGTAGTGTCGGGTTTCTTTTTCAAATACTCAGAATGATGACTGAAACCAAACCTGACATTATGCTGAATCACAACACAGTCTGTGATCAAAGCTAGCGATCACATGCGAGTTAGTATTGAATTCGAGCATGTTTGGTAACGTTATAGTTCGTGATTCAGTTTGGTTCATTCGGACAGTTCACTTCAGTCTCTGAAATCAGTATTTTCAGGTTTGTTTTCTGTCATAGTTTTTTAAAAACTCAGAACGGTGACAGAAAACAAACCTGATTTGTTGATGTTTCTGAACTAGCGGTCTGAGTGTAAATTAGTATTGAATTTGATTGTATTTTGTTCGCGATTCAGTTTGATTCATTTGGACAGCTCACTAAGTCGAGTCTGAATTCAGTAATGCCTGACATTATGCTGAATCACAACACAGTCTATGATCAAAGCTAGCGATCACATGTGAGTTAGTATTGAATTTGATTGCATTTGATATAGTTCGTGATTAATTGGTTCATTCAGACCGTTCACTTCAGTCTCTGAAATCAGTAATATTGTCAGGTTTGTTTTCTGTCATAGTTTTCAAAAACTCAGATCGATGACAGAAAACAAACCTGATATTGTTGGTGATTCTGAACTAGCGGTCTGAGTGAATTAGTGTTCAATCTAATTGTCTTTGATATAGTTTGCGATTCAGTTTGATTCATTTGGACAGTTCACTGAGTCGAGTCTGAATTCAGTAGTGTCGGGTTTCTTTTTCAAATACCCAAAATGATGACTGAAATCAAACCTGACATTATGCTGAATCACAACACAGTCTATGATCATAGTAAACGATCAGAGTGTGACTTAATATTGAATTCGATTATTTTTGATATAGTTCGTGATTCAGTGATTCATTCGGACAGTTCATCTAATTTTATTAATTTATTTTTAATCAACTTTACCTGCATTTAAATTAAAACTATAGTGCTATTTTTGCCAATATAACAATGACATTAATTTATGCGTACAGTTCTCAATTAAAGGGATAGTTCACCACAAAGTTTTAATTCTGTCATCATTTACTTGTTTCAAACCTTCATGGGTTTCTTTCTTCTGTTGAACAGGAAAGAAGATATTTCTAAGAATGCTATAAAATACCGTAACTTTTAACTTTCATAGTATTTGTTTTTCCTACTATGAAAGTCAATGGTTACAGGTTTTCAGCATTCTTCAAAATATCTTCTTCAACAAAGAAAAAATTATCTCAATCAGGGGGAAGATGAGTAAATGATGACATTTTGTTTTTGGTATCTATTTCAAACAACTTTAACTGGATATGAATTGAAACTATAATACTATTTTTGCCAATGTGACAATGACAATAATTTATGTGTGCATTCAGTTCTCATTTAAGGGAACAGTTCACCCAAAAATGTATCTTCTCCCATCATCCACTGACCCTTCACTTGTTTCAAACCTTTATAAGTTTCTTTTTATCTGTTTGACACAAATGAAGATATTTCGAAGAATGATAAAAAAAAACATTGACTTCCATAGTATTTGTTTTTTACTATAGCAGTCAATGGTTACAGGTTTTCAGCATTCTTCAAAATATCTTCTTTCATGTTCAACAAAAAAATAAAATAAAGAAAGAAACTTTCCCCTAGTCCCCAAGGTTCAAAGATCGGTCAGAGGCTTCAAATAAGCTTAAATTAATTTAATGAATCAAATGGATAAAGCATACGGAGCACTCTAGGCTGCAGAATAAACCCTTTACAGTATGAGGTTCACATGTGGGCATTACACAACCCTCTCTAACCCTCGTAGCCGAGTGTATATCGCCGATTTTCCTTCGGTGCTTCCCGGGGGCGCTTTAATAAGATCCTCCATCCAGATCAGTCCAATCATCAGTTGATAGGCAGAACAGCAAATTTTACGCACACACATAACCGAGCCTGCAAAAGAGTGAGCTTGAGCCCCTCCCATCTGTGATTGTTCCTGTAAATGAGCACACTGGAAGAAGAGATGTAACATCTGTTGATAACAAGTACAGAGGAGTTACCTTCTTGGTTATGAGTCACACATAGGCACAGCTGTTATGGAGCAAAATTATATGAGGTTAAGCACTTATATGAGGATGAACACATCAGCATACGTTCATGTAAATAGTTAACAGCAGAATTGAAATATTAATGCAGGGATTAGTGTATTAATGCATTAGATGACGTTAAAATCATCAAACATTCCTTCACTATAAAATAAACTTCTTCAAAATAAATTAAGATTTGGAGCCACTTGAGGATAAGTAAATAGTAAATGTTCATTTTTCGGTGAACTGTCTCTTTAAGACTTTCCTGTATACTGTATGATAACATACTTATTTTTCAGAAGTCTTTGTTGCACGGACACAATGGTGAGGATTTCCACACACACGGTCCTGCTGGTCCTCATCTTCGCCTTTCTGGTGTGTGAGATTGTGGTGGGCCAAATCTGCAGATCTCTCCTGATCGCGGTGGACAGTTTCCACACGCTCTACGTCTTCATAAACATGGCTTTATCTGCATTAAAGCATCAAACTAACGCTTCATGCACGCCTGAAGCCTCCAGAGAAGTTCCCGATCCTGTGTATGATGTCCGGATGCGTCTCCAGCCGTTCTGCATTCTGATCTCAGCTCTATTGCTGGCGTCTCAGTGCGTCTCCATCAGCCTGGAGGTTCTCACTCATCTCGTGCAGCCAGAAGCCATTCAGCATCCTCACTTGTGTATTGTTGTTGGAGGAGTGAGCGTGTTGTTTAATACACTCGTTTTGCTTTGGAGAAGGAGGGCGATGGATGATGGGACGCAAAACAAAATGCGTTCTGCATCAGAACCCAAAGGTGTGTTTAAGTTACTTAATATAGTCATTCATATTGAAATCAATGGGCCACTATATTATACATTGTATAAATAAATATAATATATATATATATATATATATATATATATATATATATATAATTAAATATTATTAAATATAATTTTTTTTTATATACAGTGGGGGAAATAAGTATTGAACATGTCACCATTTTGGCAACCATATACGCAGAGGAAAACCAACTAAATAGTTTATAAATGAAGTTCTGTGTAATAAAATGAAACGACGCAGGGAAAAAAAAGTACTGAACACATGAAGAAAGGAAGGTGTAGAAAGACATGGAAAGCCCAGACAGCAGCCAAAATCTCTCAGTAGTTCTTCAGCAATCCTCTGCCCTTCCTTAGTGTAAATGAAGATCAGCTGCTTCAGTCCAACATCTACATTAGCAGGAGGATGAAGATGAAACCAGGGTGGACATTTCAGCAGGACAATGATCCGAAACGCAGCCAAAGAGACTCTCAGATGCTTTCAGAGAAAGAAAATCAAGCTGTAGAATGGCCTAGCCAATTACCTGATACGAATCCAATAAAAATACAGAATAAAGCTCAGATTTGATAGATGAGAGCCACAGAACCATCCAAGATTTTGACACTTTGTTGGCATCTTTAAGCTGCCGTAAACAAAAAAGCCTTTTAAATAGGGTATTAAATACTATTCAGTTGTCCAGCACTTTCTCCTTGTGTCATTGTTATTACACCGCTCATTTTTCAGATTTGTTTTGTTTTATTTTAATGTTTAAAAGATTTTTACCAAAATCTGGTTCAATTCCCTGTAAACAGCTCCTTTAGTAATATTATTCCCAGAAAAATATGTGTTCAATACTTATGTCCCCGCTTCTTTTTGATAATGTTGTGTTGTAGAAAGTGCTCTTCCGGACGGCGCACTGATGTTCTGCAACCCTCAAACGTCCAGTGTTCTGGACCCGAATCAAACCTCTCCAGACGGCTCTTCTTCATGCCAAAACACCAACGTCACCGAGTCCAAACACACTCAAACATCCCAATCCAGTATCGGAGAAGCTCCTCAGAAAATCCCTGAACCTATAGAGAAACCTCCAGAAGAACAGAAACACACTGGTGAGAGCAATAACTAGTTACTTTAAAAAGATACAGTAAATACACTCACTGGCCACTTTATTAGGTACACCTTACTAGTACCGGGTTGGAACCCCTTTTGGCTTCAGAACTGCCTTAATCCTTCGTGGCGTATATTCAACAAGGTACTGCCAGGTACTTGATGCAAGGCAGGATGGATCCATGCTTTCATGTTGTTGAGGCCAAATTCTGACCCGACCATCTGAATGTGTCAGCAGAAATGGAGACTCATCAGAGCAGGCAACGTTTCTCCAATCTTCTATTGTCCAGTTTTGGTGAGTCTGTGTGAATTGTAGCCTCAGTTTCCTGTTCTTAGCTGACAGGAGCGGCATCCGGTGTGCTCTTCTGCTGCTGTAGCTCATCTGCCTCAAGGTTGGACGAGTTGTGTGTTCAGAGATGCTCTTCTGCAGAGCTCGGTTGTAACGAGTGCTTATTTGAGTTACTGTTGCCTTCCTATCAGCTGAAACCAGTCTGGCCATTCTCCTCTGACCTCTGGCATCAACAAGGCATTTGCGCCCACAGAACTGCCGCTCACTGGATATTTCCTCTTTGTCAGACCATTTTCTGTAAACCCTAGAGATGGTTGTGCGTGAAAATCCCAGTAGATCAGCAGTTTCTAAAATACTCAGACCAGCCCGTCTGGCACGTTTAAAGTCACTTAAATCCTTAAATTCTTCCCCATTCTGATGCTCGCTTTGAACTGCAGCAGATCGTCTTCACCATGTCTACATGCCTAAATGCATTGAGTTGTTGCCATGTGATTGGCTGATTAGATATTTGCGTTAACGAGCAGTTAGACAGGTGTACCTAATAAAGTGGCCGGTGAGTGCATTTATAAATTTTTATGTTTTGCATTTCAAAAATATAATTTATTGTGTTGAATATAGGGAGGGAGGGTGAACTATCCCTTAATAACAGAATTGTAAAAAAAAAAAAAGTGTGTGAACTATCCCTTAATAACAATTTTAATTTCTAGTTGAACTATCCTTAATATGCATTACAGAATTTTAATTTCTGCGTGAACTAACCCCCCTTTATTGTGCTTATTTGTAACCTGCCAGCACCTCAGTGTGTTTCCCAAGTCTCTATCTTCAGAGAGCATCATCTGGGTCTCCTCAGTATAGTCCAGGATCTCCTGTGTTCAGTCCTGGTTCTGTCTAATGGTCTGGTTCTGCTGCTGTCCCGAGCTCACTGTCACCGGCCTCACTCAGACTGTCACCTGCTGGTTTACCTGGATGCTGTTTTCTCCACGGTTTGTGTGGTATTTTTACTTTCCGCCGCCCTGCCGAGGTTACACAGATACGGGCTGCTGGTTCTCCAGGCGGCGCCTCTGCATCTTTCTGTCCGCCAGGTGCGACTCTGTCTCGGTCAAGTTCCCGGAGTATTATCGGTCCACGAACTTCACATTTGGCAGCTCTCAGATTCCCTCATTATCGCATCTCTGCATGTTCACTGTCCCGCCGGGATGAGCGCAGCAGAGTGCGAGGAACTTATAGCAAATATCAAAGCAGTGTTTTACTCTTTCGGCGTCAATCATTGCACGGTCCAACCTGAGTTTCTCACGCCGGAAAAGAGCGAGGCTGCGCCCGCGGAGGGTTCAGGACGACCCGGCTGCAGTCTGCGCTGTGGGCAGGAGTGTGTGGAGAAACTCTGTTGTGCCCCCCAGGTGGACGAGTCAACAAAGACAATAAATCCCACCTGCATCCGTGAGGAGAAACCATGTGATAGAGATGTGGTCATTGAAAATACATCTGTGATTCAAGACTGATGGCAATAAAAGATTTAATATGTGCACTGAGTCTGATAATCACTGCAGACTATTGTATCTCAGGCCTATAGCCAGCCTTGTGAAAGGGGTGTTTTTTTTCTTAAAAAGTGGACCATTTTGCGTTCATTTAGGCCACTATTTAGTAATGAATACTGCATTTTAGTGACATTTTAAGCACTATTTTAGCTAAAACAGATTGTCGGATGGTCATCATAACCTAAAAAGCACATATGAAAATTCATGGAGAACAGCAATAGCCAAAATAGTATTCAAATTCATTTTAATATCGGTCACTTTTTGTGCTTCACACCTTTTCATTGGTCATTTTTTTGTTTCAAGATTTTGAATAACTTGTACAACATCTTAAGCATAAACGTCAGACATCCACTAGACTGTTTAGAGCTGACTCCAGACCTGTTAAACTGTTCCACAATAAAACACACATACACACATTCCCCTGGTTTCACAAACAAGGTTTAAGGCTAGTCAAGATTAAATTGCATGTTTGAGCTGTCTCAACTCAAAATAACTTGCAGGGAGATGTCTTAAAATACGTCAGTCAAATTTTTTTTTTGTCTCCAGGTGCACACCAGTAATATATTTTATAAATGTGGCTTAAATAGCCTAAATTATCTAAGGCCTAGTCCTGGCTTGATCTAAGCGCTGTTTGTGAAACTGGGCCTTAAAGTACAATCTGTTTCTTACCCAAGCCTAAGTACTCTCAGCTGTCTTGATCAAAACTAGTGTAATCTACATTCAGGCAGTAATAATATCCTTACTACACAAAGTCTTTCTTGAATAAAAAGTAGAATCACTTTAAAAGAAATAATCGTAAAAATAGAAAAATCTCTTTAGACCTTTTAGACAGTTTTAACTCTAAAACTGAGAAATAACAATAGAAACAGTTGCTTCCAGTCTTCAGACCTTCACTCAAGATCTCCGTGACCTCTGACCTAGTTTGGTGGCACCTGAAAATAGTAGAGACAGGCTAGTGCACTGAACACTCTTACATATGAAGCAGTGTGTTTACTTATTCATTAGATAAATCATTTCAATACTCATTTAAATAATCATATTTAATAAAAATAATGAGAAACAGGATGATGAGGAAAGGATGCTGAGACGGATTGGAAGGTTTATAACTGAATCCTTCAGTGCGCAATGTTGTTTTTGTGTTATGTTGTTTACTTAAGCTCAGGCTCAAGTTCATTTTGTTTTTATTAAATCAAATTACCTCTCTGTATCGTGTTTTTTCTATCCATTTTACCACTCAGTTAAAACAATTGGGTTAAAAATACCCCAACAAATAACCCAACTAGCACCTTCCTAACTTTGGGTTATTTTTAATCCAATGCATTGGGTTTTTTTAACTAAATGTTATTTTTTATTAACATTTATTTTTTATTTTTTTCCATTCTGGTATTACTATTGCTACTATAGTACTACTCTTATTTTATATTATGGCTGTGTAAATAAATAACCTGCAGTTTTCACATATGATGAAAAAGCTTTATTTTCACTACATTTTAAGTTCCAGACACTTAAGCGTTTTTATCCATTTAATATAGATCGGCGATGAAGTGCACGTTTGTATCATCATTAAAATCAAAATAAATCATCAAATTAAATTAAATTAAATTAAAAGGGCACATATTTATGTCTATCTGACATGTTTTTGGCTCAAACTATAACAGGAGCAAAGAATTTAATTGGTTTGAAACCGAATGTCTAATGAATGTCAAACATCAAACTAACTTTACCACGGTCTGGATAAGTCGGCGGTTCATTCCACTGTGGCGACCCCAGATTAATAAAGGGACTAAGCCGAAAAGAAAATGAAATGAGATATGCAGGCTTAAAATTGCTTGTTTAAATCGAGTTACTCTGCATTGATAGTAGTTTTACAATATGTATTTTCATTATATTATTTTATACAAGTATTTGGGAAAATTCGACGATTTTGCTTCATTTACACGGTTGTAGAACTTGAAACACTTAGATATATAAAAAATAAACATTTCTTCATATAGCTATAATTTGTGTTCCTAAGATGCTTTTATTTCTACACTGAAAATGTTCTCTATGATACGAATACAACCTCTTTTAAAGAGGCTTCTCCTCTGTTTATCCAAATATAGACTTTTATTCTGAAATAGGCGTTACTCCACTTCCGCCTATAGTGAATCGCTGCAACATCCGCTCTTTCGCTGTTTCCTCAACGGCGAACACAATTAAACAGCATTTATAATGTACTTAATAATAGCAAATAAACAAGTTTACCATAAAATATGAACGTTTTGCCTTAAAACGATAATCATGGCGAGGATTGGAGACATCATTCATCTGAACGTCGGGGGGAAAAGGTTTGTATTAAGCCTCCATCCTGCTGAGGCAAACACAGACTTCACTAACTTACCTCAGTCAAGAACTCTTAGCATTATAGTAAACCCTGGACACTTTATCTTAGGCTTACTATGCAGCAGCAGCGTCGTTTTATTGAGTGTATTGTATTGATCAGACTTTGTAAAAGTCAGCAGACAGTGATAAACATCTGCATACCTTCACATTCTACAGGAGGCCTGTCTTCATTGAGGTAAAGTTGGGTTTTTGTGATTCGCACATTCGGACTTTCTGCTTGATATCATCTTATTAAAGTATTATTTGCTAATTCTAGATAGGGAAATCATAATAGTAGCCAACAACTACGTTACAACTTTGTTTACAGTCAATTAAATAGTGCTAATCTTGCTATAATGTCATACTTGGATGCGATTTCAGACCCAAAATTCAGATTATCCTGGAAAGCATGTTAAGACCGTGTCGCAAGTTGTCAACAATTGTGCGAAGTTATGCTAAAGTTAGTTTTATATCCACCTAATTTTTCTCTTAATAATAAGATTTCACTAAAATACTCTTTTCAAATTATAAATGTTGAACTCATATTAGCAGCAAAGGACTGTTAAAGTACAACAATGTTCACAGTCAATTAAACAGTTGTTTTTAAGTCATACTTGCATGTGATTTCAGAATGAATATGTAAAAGTACCATAGTAAATAATGTAGGGAGCATGTCACAAGTTGTCACTGAATGAATGTGTGAATAAAAACAACTTTACCTCAATATGTGTGAATACCTACTTTGCATAAACCCTGATCATTGCATAACACCTGTGTTGATATACCATGTTCTGTTATTGAACTCTTAACCAAGAAAATAGATATACTACCTGTTTTTTAATGTTGCTTTTATGTATTTTGTGCAGGTTCAGTACCTCCAGACAGACTCTGACATGGGTTCCTGACTCCTTTTTCTCAAGGTTTGTGCATTTCACGTCATATAAAGCTAAACTAGACTTAATTTAGTTTTTTGATAATATTTAAATAAGGTTTTTATCACTGACTTTTTCAGTTATTTGCTTTTTAAATATCTATCTGTTTGTCTGTCTGTCTTATATAGTGAGATCCAAAGTTATGCTATTGTCTTTTGTAATGTTTAAGAAAATGTATTGTCAAAATGTTGGTGAATTAACCTTTTTTCTTTTATAAAAAAAAATGTATGTAAAAACTTGTGTTTATGTAAAAATTAAATCACTATTCTTGAAATTGAAGATCTATGAAAAGTGTATGAAAAGATTTGTTTTGCATTTTAAATGCTTAAAAATGTGTTGCTGACAAATGGGTCAAAACTAGTAGCAAAATGATAATTAATATTAATATTTAATATTTTAATTATTAATAATTTAAAATAAACAATTAATATTTTGTGCTTATTGCACAATATGTTTCTTTTACACACACACACACACACACACACACACACACACACACACACACACACACACACACACACACAGTTAAAGTCAGAATTATTAACCCCCCTTTTAATTTTTTTGAATTATCATTTCACAATTATGTTTCACAGATTCAGGAAATTTTCACAGTATGTCTGATAATAATTTTTCTCCTGGAGAAAGTCTTTTTTTGTTTTATTTTGGCTAGAATAAAAGCAGTTTTGAATTTTTTAATAAACAATTTTATCAATATTATTAGCCCCTTTAAGCTATATTTTTCTCGATAATCTACAGAACAAACTATCGCTATACAATAACTTGCCTAATTACCCTAACCTGCCTAGTTAACCTAATAACCCTTGTTAAGCCTTTAAATGTCACTTTAAGCTGTATAGAAGTGTCTTGAAGAATATCTAGTCTAATATTATTTACTGTCATCATGACAAAGATAAAATAAATCAGTTATTAGAGATGAAGCTATCAAAACTATTATGATTAGAAATGTGCTGAAGAAATCTGCTCTCTGATAAACAGAAAATATGGGAAAAAATAAACAGAGTGGCTAATAAGTTAAGGGCTCTAATAATTTAGACTTCAACTGTGTGTGTGTGCGTGCGTGTGTGCGTCTAAACACATACATACTGTATATACAAATAATTCTTGCTGTAATTACGCCTGGCCAGAGTTTTGACTATATGGAATTTTGAAACGCTCAATGCTGACTGGTATAAGAGTTTTTTTCTTCTTTGTGTAGTTTATTAAGTGGAAGAATATCAACGCTAAAAGATGAGACTGGAGCGGTAAGTCATCTTCATGTCTGTAAGCTAATGATAACACATTTTTCCTCTATATAAATGCTTCTCCATGAGGCATCTCTAAAGGTTTTTGTCTTTCTAGATATTCATAGATCGAGATCCATCTCTGTTTGCTCCAATTTTGAACTTTTTGCGCACTAAAGAGCTTCATCCAAGGTAAACACTAGAATCTTGATTAAATTATGTGCAGCCTGTTAACTGTGATTATTCAACATTGAATGTATTCCTTTATTTTTCTGACAGGTCCATAGATGTCCACTTGTTAATACATGAGGCGGAGTTCTATGGGATCACACCACTGGGTAAGATAAAGGTTATTGGGTTATTCTGGTGGTTTTAAAACACGTTATATTTACACTACAGTGCATCATCCATTTCATTGCCTGATCAGGTCTGTCACAGTTATTACATTTGTTCAAC